AGTGGCTGGGAGGCCCCGAGGTGGTAGCTTTGAGAATGTTCTGCTTGGTTTCGGTTGAACGGGATGCTCTCTGGGTTCTCATCCAGCACCCGTGCCCTTTGTTTTTCTTCTTTAGTTTTCACTTCTTGACTCCTCCAGACTTCAAGTTGTCTGTGATCATATAAGGCCTTCGATATCAGGTAGGGACTTCCAGAAACCAGCTCCCAACCTTAAGAGATTTCCTTCTCTGCGCTGGCGACACGGGCCTTCTGTCAGAATGACAGGACGGCTTCTCGTAATCTGAAAATCCCCATTTGGAAGCAAAGGCGGGAGGAGGCGAATTGGACAAAGCTCTTGGAGCATGCAAATTAGAAACTGTGAAATGTTCTTATAAATAACGCGATCTCATTGCATTTGCCGGGGGAATTTTCTCGCAGCAGCTGGGATTTTTCCTGGCCAGAGTTGAGGATGAATCTTTTCCCTCTGGGCCGTTGTTTCTTACAGTCTCATGGGTACAGACTCCATTTGTATCCAGGAGGGTGGAGAAGGAATGAACTCGCCTTCAATTCCATAATCGGAAGGTTGCTTCGGTCCTGCTCCACGGCTGGAGGTGCCTGATTTTGAGAGAATGCCAGGATTTGGGGACCTCTCCTTTGTGCATATGCCTAACACCGGGCTGTTTGCAGTGGGGCTCGTGGTGAATGAGAAAAAAACATTGTACCCTTGCGAATGAGAAAAAGACATCGCACCCCGCTTGTGTGGGCGGCTGACTTTGGGCCTGGCCCTGCGTCCTTCGGGCTGACGCAGCCCCTCACAGGCATGGGACTTGGAGTCTTGAGATGGGCACGGGCTGCCTCTCAGCCCCGACCTGCCCCACTGCCGGGCATCTCTGTGCAAGGTCTGTAACTCGCACAGCGACTCTGCATGTTGAAGCCGAGAGTGAGAGAAGCCCGGGTTTGGAGGCAGACGGCCGTCGTTTGAGCCCTGGTTTTATGCCTTAGTAGTCCCTGTTTCAGGGTGTTGGGAGCTCTGGCAGAAGCAGAGCTTAACCAGCTCTCTCTGTAGCGAGCCAGACGGTAAATACTTAGGCTTTGTCGACCACGTAGCTCGTGCTGTGGCTACTCCCCTCTGCCGTCGGGGCTCGGAAGCAGACATGGACAGGTGTGAGTGAGCCATGATCACCATGTGCCAGTCGCAGCTTCCTGACACGCAGCCAGCCCGTGGGCGTCTCTCTGCCAGCCCTCGTGGAAAGCATCTGGTTCGGTGCTCGGTGTGCCGGGGGCTGCGAGAAGCAGAAGACGTTATCGTTACTGTTTCAGATTTAGTATTAATACCATTACTACCGCTTCTTCCAGCTGTCACCCTGTGCCAGGTACTATTCTAAGGAATCTTCACATGTTCCATCTTGTTCAGTCTCCTCGCCAGGTAACTTGGCTGAGGTCCCGTAGCTGGTAAGTGGCAGGACTGGGATTGGGAGCCTCCCTCTCTGATCTCCTTGCTGTTTGCTGCCTCTCGTGTAAGCAAGCCCCCGGCCCCCATCTCTCTCTGGCACCTTCATTTTTCTTCTTCGTTGTGGCTCTCCTGTTGATACTTAAATATTTTATCATTTTTATCATTTATCATTTTGCTAATTGTCCATCCCAGGTGGGAAGCGTATCAGGTGGGGACCTCTCCGTCTTGTCTGGTCCCCAGCCACCTCTTGGCATCTAAGCAGGCCCTCCCTAAATATTTGCTTAAGAAATAAATGAGTCATTGTCGGCTGTGCCCCACCCCCTTCCATTTCCCCTTCCCCACTGGAACCCCACCTTTTCACCCTGGGGTGGAATCGGGCTACAGTCCAGGTGTATTCGAGATTGACATGATAACCCATCCACCACCAGCCTCCTGAGCAAATGCCGCCGCCGCCGCCTCCTCCACGAATAATGTTGCCATGCTGGGTTGGAAAAGCTCCACCTTACAGCACAGTCCTGTGGACTCAGTCATTTGTCCCTCCTTGTAGTCGCGTGAGTAGGCTGAGCAGCTGACGTACCGCTCCCTGTCTCCCAGATTCCAAAACCGAGGCTTCAAGCTGGAGGCACTTGCCCCGCCTCATTCAGTGAGAAAATGGCCTCCCAAGGATTTGAACTCGGGCTCCAAAGTCTGAACTCACTGTCCTTTAGGTTGGTCTGGAACACAGGTCTTTGAGGCAGACAGCACCTGCTTGCTTTATTAAAAATCTCCTGAGGCCAGGGCCCAAGCTCACAGGCACTGATCTGAGCTGGTCTGGAGTGGGTGTTCAACGGGTTTTCTAGGCTGGACTCTGGTGCAGGTGGGGCTGGGAGCCTCCTGACACCCTTCTGGTCCCTGCGTGGAGCCCGGTGGTTCTGGGCCCAGGATGCGTGTTTTTGTCCATAGGGAAGCTTCTCGTTTAGCTTTTTCTGGAAGCTTGCACACGTATACGGAAGTAGGCAGCAGCGTGTAACAGACAGCCGTAGACTGCCTTTGTCCTGCACCTCCCTGTGTAAGTACTTCAGTACCTGTCTCTGAAAGCCGGGGAGTTAAACACGTTTAGTAACTTTTTATTTGGAAATAAACTCGGCTTAGCAAAGGTTGCATGAATAGAATTCCTGTGTGCCCTCCACCCACCTCTCCCAGTGAGACTGTCTGAAAGATAAGGATTTTAAACAGCCCAATGGTGACCCCACTCTCTGGCCTAAAAGCATTCATAGTAATCATTGGGTATCACCGAGTATTCTAGTAATCCACTGCGGTTGCAAAATGGCCCATTGTCTTAATGTTCTGTCATTCATTCTTTGCTTATTAGCTGGACTGTATTTTGGCGGTGGCGGAGGGACAGAGGAGAGGGAGAGAGAGAGAATCTCAACCACGCTCCGTGTCCAGCAGAGAGCCCGACGAGGGGCTCAATCTCACAACCCTGAGGTCATGGACCTGAGCCAAAATCAAGAGTTGGAGGTTTAACCAACTGAGCCTTCCAGTTGCCCCGGCTGGACTGATTCTATGCAAAGACATTTCCCTTTTCTCTCTTTGGTCACCCTCTGGTGAAGTTCATTTAGAAAAGGTGGGAAACACGCTTGGCTCCTGCCCTTTCTCTGTTTTCTAAGACGGTGGCTTGGTTCACGTGCGTCTTTGCATGAACGACACCAAGGGGTTGCCCTTTTTTCCCCCTGGTGTCATTGTGAGATTGTGTCTTTAATCAGACATGATGGTCACAGTCATTTCTCCTTACTGGCCTGATGGCAGCTCCCTTCATCCTTTTTGGGGCAAGTTCGGAGCCGCTTCTAGTTGTGGCTGAGGCCTTTTAACTCCACATGGCTTTATCTTCCGTGGTAACAGGTGTGAGAAGACAGTGGAGGCTTATCTGGGACATTTCCTGCCAAGCCGCTTTGCCAGGGAGACTCTGGGAGCGAAAAGCAAACATAAAAACTTGATGTCTTGGTCTCACCCCAGACCAGCTTGATTAGACTCCGGGAGGTGGGGACCAGGTACGGTGTTACTTTTAAAGCACCTACAGCCTGGATGGAAAACCACTCTGGCAGAATGTGTGTGTTTGTGTGTTTCCAAGGCTGTCTCTGAAAAAATGCTGGAACATGGAGCAGCCTCCTCTATTAGAGACCTCATTGCTGCATGGTGACCCTCCCCCCCTTGACTAAAGCATATATTTTACAATATAGATCTGAATGTTTTCAGTGTGGAAAGTTGGCCCTTGTGTGTGGTTTCTGAGGCTCCATGTGGACATCCTTTTCCTGGTGTGTGTGTGTGTGTGTGTGTGTGTGTTGTTGGAGCTCATTTCTGTGTCTCTGGGAAATAGGTTCTGTGAGAGCTTGCTTGGAATATGTTGATGACTTGCCTTTGCCCTTGGGATGAAGACCAGAATCCCTTACATGGCCTCCAGTATAGACTTCTCAGCCCCTTCTTGGTTCCCAGAGTGGGTTATGCCCCCTTCTGCCACTTCTGCCACAGGACCTTTGCACATACACACTCTTGGTGCTGAGACCGCCTTGCTCTCCCCCTTTCCTCGTTTTCCTCTCCTCAGTTTTCACACACCAGCTTAGGGACGCTTTCTCTGACCTTCATCTCCTGGATCAGCCCCCATCCGCTTATCGGCTCTCTTGCTGTGATCTCACTAAGATACCTGTGACCTCACTGGTACACTGACCTAGCTTCAGGGGACGATCCTCATGGCAGTTGAGGTTGTGTGTTTGCTCACAGGACCATTTGATTAATGTCTCTTTCTGAAGCCTGTTAGGGACTTGCCGTCTGTGTCCTCTGCTTCCAGCGGGGGGAGCCTGGCAAGACCATTCCATCCCTCTGCTCTTCTGTTTCTTTAACTCCAAAATGAGGATGATGCTTTTAACTACTTCCTAGGGTGGTTGCAAAGATTACATGAGATCATGTGTGTAAAGCACTTACAGCAGAGTTAGCCAGTACAGAAGTTAGCAGGTGTTATTGTTACTCTGGTGCACTGCAGGCCTGGGGGGTTGTGTCTGCTCAGGTTTATATACATGGTGCTGGGCATGTAGCAGGTGCTCAGAAAATACATGTTGAATGAACGAATGAAACAGGAATAATAGTAATTCCCACACTCGTAAGGTTCTATGAGGATATAAGATGATGCTGGGGCTCTTGGTAGAGCGTCCGGCACGTAGCTGGTGGTCAGACGGTATTTGTTGAATGGATGAGTCAGTGAATGAATGGGGGTAACGGGCACACTCCCCAGGTTGCCATGGAATTGAATATAAGGCAGGGAGGGTAAGTGGCGTTCTCTGCTGCTTTTGCACATAATCGACACTTGGGAAATATTTCCTGGATGACACTGGCGAGTTGCCATGTGTTTCTTTGACAGTCACTGGGGCTCAAGAGAGAAACCCTTTTGGGGTGCAAGTCATCGGTGTGAGGGGGCTGCTGGTCCATCGAGAGTAAGAGCGCTCTGCTCACTTCTTGTTGCCGAGCGCGCCTAGACAGACGAGAAGGTTAATTGATCATTTCCTGTTTATTCCCACCCCGTGTGTTCTCTCCACTAGAATCCCTGCCCGGAGTCCAGCGCCTCCTTCCTTTCCAGAGTCACCTTCTGGTGGATTACAGGGTAAGGCCAGGCGGGCGCTTCGGGCCTGCTGTCCCTCCGTCACCCCTTCACCGCACGTGCTGAGCATGTCTGCCCTGGGCCCCGGGGCTCAGACGCGGACCCTGTGCCGTGTGCACGGACTTGACGTGTGAACCATAAATGGCTTGCGGCACTTCTGTGCGTGGCTTCACCCAGGGCACTTAGAAGCCGTGTGCTCTTGGCTTTCAGATTTGGGTTGTTTTTTTTTTTTTTTTTTTTTTTTTTTAAGCATCAGGTTAATTACAGTTGTTGGCCAAGAAATAAAGTTGCCATTAGAAAAATAATGCCCATGCCCTGTAAGAAATGTGGGTATAAGAAACAGGCATAGATCCACAACCAGAAACCCCCAAGGCACCTGCTCACTTTAGGCTCCCTTCCTGTCTTTTTTTCCCACACATTTCTTCCTGCACGATGTCGCATCTTACCCAGGATTTTCTGAATCCCTTTTTCCCCATAAGCACTGTTCCTTGTCTTAATAAACCTTGCACAGACATCTTTTTTTTTAATTAAATATTGTTCAGATTAACAGTTAAGGACACTGTTCCTTGTCCTTATAAACTTTGCACAGACATTTTTTTTTTTTTTTTAATTAAATACTGTTCACATTATCAGTTAAGGAACATCTCGGGGACAGTTGGGGTCATTGGAGTGTGAACTGTGGGTCATGCCATCGTTAGATTTCTGATTTTTGTGAGTCGCTCTCTGGCTTCTGTGAGAGCATGCCCTTTTTCTAAGGGGGACACACGGTAACGTTGGGGGTGCAGGCATGCTGCGTCCACAGCCTCCGCTGAAGGGGTTCAGAGAAAAAGTCTGTATGTGTATATTTATAGGTAGAGAGAAGAGTACAGCAGATGTGGTAAGATGTTAGCAGCGGTGAGCTGGGGGAGGGGTAGGTATTCATATGATTTTTCTGTAAGTTTGATAATGATTTCAAAACAATCAGTGACAGGTTTATGTTCTTTACGGAAGTGTCCAAACATGTAGAAAGCAAGTCTAACCAAACTCAACGAACTTATCGTTGGGATTTGACGATGATGACTACTTTGCCACTGAGTCTTAAAAACTTTTTTTTAAAGTAAATGGGAGCCACTGTAAAATCGGTATCCTGAGTACTCTGTGTCTTTGAAAAATGAAGCCATGTTTCCTGGGCGACCTAACAGAATTAGGTGTGATGACTTAATGTGCCCAGATGTCCTGTGCATATTGCGATTTTCCTAAGTGCGTGCTGCTGTCCGTGGCGGCGGGCTGGCGTGGCGGGTGTGGGCGGCAAGGGTCAACGTCCCCTTGCTGTGACTCTCATCTCCTTCCCCTGGTGTTTTGGCCCCAGGCTGATGGTCCGCGGCTACCGCCAGCCGCTGGAGAGCACTGACCTCTGGTCCCTGAATAAGGAGGACACGTCAGAGCAAGTTGTGCCCGTTTTGGTAAAGAACTGGAAGAAGGAGTGTGCCAAATCCAAAAGGTAAGTGCGAGCCTCTTGCCACAGGGGAGAGCCGGGCGTTCTCTAGGACCACCGGGTCACCCCCTTTCCTGCCACCAAGGTGCAGAATGGTGGCGGTGTCCCCTCTGACTAGCTTCGGGGTCCTGGGCGAGCTGCTTCACTCTTCCCAGCCGTGGTCGGCTCATCTGCAAAATCCAGGAAGAGTCTTCCACGTAGCTAAGGCAGTCTGGGTAGACAAGAGCGAAAGATTGATGCTGTTTGCTTGGGCCCTCGGCAAGTGCGTGCCTGGGGTGCGCAGCCCCGCTCTGTGTGAGACAGCGGCACCTTCCCTGTCTCACCGGGAGCGTCCGGCCTTCTGAGTGTTCTTGCTCTTTTCAGTGTTTTGGCTTCGACACACCAAGCCCATCGCTTCAGCAGCTATTCTGCCAAGGAAGCCCTCCCCAAGGGTGGTTTGGACCGTGCTGCATTTAAAAGTAACATAGACTTTAGTGTTTTTTTTTTTTTCTTTAAGATTGTATTTATTTGTCTGACAGAGAGAGAGACAGCAAGAGAGGGAGCACGAGCAGGGATGGGGAGTGGGAGAGGGAGAAGCAGACTCCCCGCTGAGCGGGGAGCCCAGTGCAGGGCTTGATCCCAAGACCCCGAGATCATGACGTGAGCCAAAGGCAGATGTGCAACGACTGAGCTACCCAGGTGCCCCTAGACTTGAGTTTTCACAGTGGAAGGCACAGACGGTTGTGTGTAAGCCCCCCTTCTCCCATACATAGTCTCCTTTGTTATCAGTGTCCCCCAGCAGAAAGGATCTTTGTGAGCATTGATGAACCCGTGCTGACGCATTATGATCACCCCGAGCCCATAGTTTGCATTATGGGTCCCATTTGGTGTCCTGAATTTTATTTTATTTATGTATCTTTTTAAAGATTTTTTATTTATTTATTAGAGAGCGTGCGTGAGCAGGGGGAGGGACAGAAGGAGAAGCAGACTCCTTGCTGAGCAGGGAGCCTGATGTGGGGCTTGATCCCAGGACCCTGGGATCATGACCTGAGCCGAAGGCAGACACTTCACCGACTGAGCCCCGCAGGCAGCCCGGTATCCTGAGTTTCAGACCCGCTTCCCACATGAGCTGCGTGCCATCCCGTGACCTCTTACCAAGTTTTTTTGGGAATCAGGCCAGGGCCTCCCCAGCACATACTTGATTTCATCAAACCTAAGACGTCCCCAGTTACGTGAAGCAGCATTGTATTACGTGCTGGTAAGAAGGGAAAGTGGCTGTTACAGGAGAGTAGTCATGGGCCTTGGCCTGTGTCCCGTGTCCCAAAGAGGTAGTTAAGAACTTATGGGTGACATGGGGGTGATAGAGGGTAGTGGCAGGAGCAGAACAAAATGTGGCTGTCCTTCCTCCTGTGGTTTTATGGGGTGGGCCTGTTGTTGACCTCTTAGCACTGGCTGACAGTGGGGTCAGCCTGCTGTATGGGATCTCTCACAGACCAATTGTCCTTCTGGGAGAAAAACCTTGGACTTGGAGGTCCAGTTGCCAGAACACCTAGGTTATAGATCTTTGGTCAGGCCTGGTTGGGGCTGGGAACTCAGTATATTCGTCCTGTTGGCTACTAGGACACCAGCAGAGGCCCTTGCGACGCTGAGCTGGTGCCCATTCGGGGTAGCCACGGACACAGGAGAGGTTGTCTTAGGGCAGGCAGGTCGAGTCATAAGCCTCTGTGGGCGGGCATCGCGAGATGGGTGGTGTTCTGGGCACGTATGGCTCCTCGTGAACCTGGTGTGAATCTGGTGCCCGTGACCCCGTAGGAGGTTCTCAGGCAGAGGCGGGTCCCTGGGTCCACCCTTCTGGGTGAGCAGGTTACTGCGGATGGCGTGGGAGAGGTTGCCTCTGAGGCTCCGCAGAAGGAGGACCAGGCTTGAACGAGAAGCCCTGTCTGTCACCGTCTTGGCCCTTAACTGATTCATTCAGCAGATCTGAGGTCTCCTGCCACTGTGCAGTCAGTTCAGGCCGTCTGTGTTCAGACTGTGGGACCAAAGAGGCTCCTTGTTTGGGGCTACCCTACCTTCCATACAGGAGACAGACAGGATGGAAGTCGAGCATACACGGACAGGGCAAGTTTTGGAGAGCATTACATTTTATGAGATTATGGCAAGGAAGTGGGGCAGGTGAGGGGCTAGGAAACTGATAGAGACGCCGTGGGTGGGGATAGACTCGCACAAGGCGACATTTGAGCAGAAGTTCCTATCGAAGGAAGTAGTGACCCACATCCATGTGTGTGGGAAGGGCTTTATGGTTAGAGGGAAGAGCTCATGCAAAGGTCCTGAGGTAGAGGTGAGTCTGGCATGCTTATGGAGAAGTAGGGGGAGCAGTGTGGCCTGAGTGAAGTGTGTGAGGGGCAGAATGGAAGGCGGTAAGGGAGGAGAAGCATTTGCAGGGGTCTCATGGGCCGAGCTAGCGTGTTCAGGTTTGATCCTAGGTACAGTGAGAAGTCAGAGGGGGGTTTTGTGCAGGCCAGTGGCATGTCCTGAGTTTTGTTTTTTAACCAGTGGGGCTGCCCTGGGGAAGGTGAGAGAGGGGGCAGGGAGACCAGGGTGGGGCCTGAGGGGCTGTGTCCCTCAGGTCCCTTCGTGCTCCAGAGCCCCTGTTTGCTGCTCAGAGGGATTTCTGACAGTTCAGTGCGATAAACATCGTGGGTAAACCCTGTCATCGTCTTGGGTAAACCCCAGGAGGTAATACCATATGAGTCGTGTAGCTTCATCTGGATGCAGCCCCGGACTGGGCGTTCTCATCTTGCCTGGCAGGATGTGGTGAGCCCTGGCTCCTCGGGCTTCAACATGGGCCACCCCTAGAGGCACTGGCTCTCTCAATACCTCAGCCTTCAGGGGTTCTCAGCTTGGGGGTTCACTGCCTTGTCATTCTCTCTGTCTCTAGAGGCACAAACCAGGTAGACATGGTGGGCGAAGGGAAAAGTCCTCTTCTTCACTGGGATTTCTTGGTGTGGCCCCTTGTGGCCAGGCCTCCTCACTTAGCTGGGGAACAGGCTGCAGGTGGGAGGGAGAAGTTACACAGGGGCCCTGGCAGACCATACGGGGTGATGGATATGTTTACCACCTTGATTTTGCGGACAGTTTCATAGGCCTATGTGTCCATGTAGGTCAAAACTCATCCATTCATACACTCCCAATATGTGCGACCGAGCATACATCAGTTACACCTCAATTAAGCTATAGATGTTTTTTAAAAAGCAGAAAACATTCTTAAAGACAGGGTGGCCATTTTTGCTTAATTGTCTCTATTTTGTAAAGGAATGCAGACAGAAAATACCAAAAAAACGACACAAAGAGCCAGCATATGTGTGCTGAGCGGTGGTTCTGAACCTTGCAGACTCACTGTTGCCTTGAATACAAAGATTCTCCAACATCAGTACAGTTACTTTAAGGTAATAGGTCAGTAAAAATAGCCCACCCACATAGCTAAAATTTAAAAAATTAACAAAATGCTCTCACTAGGCTTCTGAGGAAATCTGAAACGGTTTTGTCGTAGGACAATGTGTATTTCAGTGAGTAGATGCTCAGGCGCGTGCGCGCTGAGAGAACAGAATGGAGAGTTGCTGCTTGTCCCAAAGGGGAGGGTTCCCTGTGACAGCTGCAAATCCCTCCTGATCTCCGGACCCACCATCAGTCGCCCTCACAGAAGAGGTTTTGGAGAGTTGTGGCCATCACTTGGCTAAATTCTGAATGAAATATAGTCTCCCCTTCTTTTCAGTAATCGTTGCATTCCTGGGGGCACCTGGGTGGCTCAGTGGGTTAAGCCTCTGCCTTCGGCTCAGGTCATAGTCTCGGGGTCCTGGGATCGAGCCCCGAGTCGGGCTCTCTGCTCAGCGGGGAGCCTGCTTCCTCCTCTCTCTCTGCCTGCCTCTCTGCCTACTTGTGATCTCTCTCTCTGTGAAATAAATAGATAAAATCTTACAAAAAAAAAAAGTTGCATTTCTGAAAAAAATTCAAGGTGTATTTAAACTTAAAACTACAAAATACACACTATGGATATTATAGATTTATGTCTGAAAATGGAGTTCGATTCCAGACCTGGGTGATTTCGGGCAGGCTTTTCAATCTACGTAGATTCCTGTTGGGCTGTTTTTGGGGGACTGAGGGTCCTTAGGTCACAGAAGGTCTGGTATCTGGCTCAGTGGTTGATAATCAGAGAATGTGGCATTTGCAAAACAACCCCCTTTGAGAAAAGCTCTGCTTTTGAGGAACAGAAAAAAACAAAAAAAGAAAAGAAAAACAAACCTGAAAAAAGGGTAGGGTGGTGGGGGAAGTTTGAGTCATTTGCATTCATAAGCAGTACATTTAAAATCCTGCCAGGGCTACCAAGGGGGTGGGATGGGAGGGGGACCCTTGCCACTCCCACTGTGGTTCCCGAGACTGTCCTCCTGTATATCCTTAGCACTAAGAAGAGTGACAATGTGACCCAGGGTTGTAAAGTGCATTCTCTGCATTCGTAGGTCAAGTCTGCCCTTCTGTGTTATATTGGATATTTGTTATGGGTCAAAGACCACGATGCTCAGAGGACACCCAGAAATGTAGAAATTTCAGTCACGCTGAGACTTTTTTAAGTTTAAGATTTGGCCTTTCCTAAAGCCTTCATGACAGATGACAGAGTCCTCAGTAGTGCCTTGCTGCTCTTTGGTTGGTTCCAGCCCCTGCCGTCTGCTCCCAGCCCTGTTCAGGTCACCCTGAGGTTCTCACTGGTTCCACGAAAGGGCTGCCAAACCTCATTTCCCGTCCTTAGCTCCAGGCCTTGCTCATCCTGTTCCCTCCGCCTGGAGCATCCTTTCTTTCTCCTGATTCTCCCATCCTGCAGGTCACTGCTGTGATGTCACCTCCCCTGGAAAGCCCCCATGATAGCACCAGTAAGAGTCTTTTTTTTTTTTTTTTTAAGATCTTATTTATTTATTTATTTATTTGACAGAGATCATAAATGGAGAAGCAGGCAGAGAGAGGAGGAAGCAGGCTTCCTGCAGAGCAGAGAGCCCGATGTGGGTCTCGATCCCAGGACCCTGGGATCGTGACCTGAGCCGAAGGCAGAGGCTTTAACCCACTGAGCCACCCAGGCACCCAGCGCCAGTAAGAGTCTTATGAAGTCATGCTTGCTCATCCTTTCCTCTCATGAGGCTCTGTGGTAGTGGGGCTCCGGGTTTGACCTAGAACATGTGTTTAGTTCATTAGTGGACAAGTGACTGATGGGCGTCTCTGCCTACATTGGAATCTGATCTACTCACAAAGGCCCTTTTTCTTCCCAGCCTTCAGCTTACCCACCCCTTTCTGTTCCTTTGCTCTGGATGGTTTTCTCCTGACTCAGACCTTTCCCCTCCAATTTTCCTTTCCCCTCCCAGCCAGAGCTCGCAGATGCCCGGCTTGCTTCCTCTCCGGTCCTGGAGCACTTCCCTCCTTTGTGGGCTTCTTGTTAATGGGACAGTTTTCTTTCTTGATTTGGTCTTAGCTGATCCTTCCCACCGTTCTTGACCTTGACCTTGTCCACCCAGGCATGAGCTTTCCTCCTCTCTGCCTGCCCTGGACCTTCTCCCTGACCCTTTGGCACCTGTCTCTTGGCCACTAGAAACAGCCCTGGGTCACTAGCAGCCCACGCAGGCCCAGGGCTGGGTCTGGTTTAGGAAGTGGTACAGAGAATGAACAGGGGAGGGCTGAGCCACTCCCTTCCTCTCTGCCTAGCCCTCTTTCTTCCTTGCCAGGGAGGCCTGCATGTGCTGAAAGGAATTATACTAAAAATCCTAGTAGGAAAAGGGCAGCTTTAGGGCAGGTCAGTAAAGGGAGTTGTGAAAGTCTTGCACAGTGACATTGGCAGTGTGGTTGGTGGAATAATGCACAAAGATGCCCATGGCCTGATCCCCAGAACCTTACATGGCAAAGGGCCTGATATGATCACTGGGTCCTTGTAAGAGGAGACAGGAAGTCAGGGGGTGGGGGGTGGGGGTGGGGAATGCGCTGCAGCTGTAACTGGCTTTTAACTGGAAGAAGGGGCCACAAGCCTGGGAATGTAGGAGGCTTCCAGAAGTTGGAAGAGACCAGGAAACAGATTAGAAGGAATGTAGCCCTGTGGGCCCCCTTCAGATTTCTGACCCCCAGAACTATGAGACGATAAATTTGTGCTGCTTTGGGCGCCTGGGTGGCTCAGTGGGTTAAGCCGCTGCCTTCGGCTCAGGTCATGATCTCAGGGTCCTGGGATCGAGTCCCGCATCGGGCTCTCTGCTCCGCAGGGAGCCTGCTTCTTCCTCTCTCTCTGCCTGCCTCTCTGCCTACTTGTGATCTCTGTCTGTCAAATAAATAAATAAAATCTTAAAAAAAAAAAATTTGTGCTGCTTTAAGCCACCTAGTGTGTGGTAATTTGTTACAGCACACATAGGAAGTTATACAACTTCACACTGAGTTTAGGTTTTATTCTGGGTGCAGTGGGGAAGCTATGAGTTGAAGTAGGAGGATGTGTTTTTAGGAAGGTCCCACTGGCTGCTGTGCAGGAACTTGGATGTCAGGGAACAAAAGTGGGAGGAAATGAAGGAGCAGGAAGGAGGCCCCAGTGGTGGTCATTTGCATGGATCAGAGGCTGTAACCATGGACAGAGTGGATGCATGCCCACACATCTCCTGGGTGGGGACAGACAGGACACATGCCTGATCGACCCAGAGCATGGAGGAGATTCCCGTGTTTCTGGTCCTTTCCTGGGGTAGGAAGTGAGCCAAGGCAGGTTGGAAAGCTGTGCTTGCTAAGAGAGAGTGTCAGGTAGTTTAAATAGTCAAGTGTGTGGCATCAACGTGACAAGGGAGAGCCTTCTGAAACTGAATGCCATTCAGTACGCCTACACCATGGAAGGATCCCGTAAATTGCAGATACTTGGTTAGGTAAGGAGGAAGCATATGTTTTGGCGGCGGAGCCCACGTCGGGCCATTTGAAGATGTTGACTTGACTTTAATTTGGAGACCAGAGTTAGGAGGTATGTCTTTGCTGTGTAATAATATGTTACCCCAAACCTAGCAGCTGAGAACGACAGCGAACATTTACTATCTCACATGGTTTCTCTGTATCAGGGGTCCAGCCTAGCCAGGGGGTTCTGGGTCAGCGGCTCCTGAAGTCGCACTCGCCCTGTCAGCTGAGGCCACATCATCCAAAGGCTCGACTGGGGCTGTAGGCCCTGCTTTCCAATTGCACACGGCTAGTCAGTCAGTGCTGGCTCTTGGCAGTGTCTCATCAGGGGGCTCCTCCAGGGTCCTCCTCACACGGCCGCTGGCTTTGTCTGGAATGAATGATCCAAGAGAGGGCAAGACAGAAGCCACTGTGTTTTCTGTGACCTAATCTTAGAAGCGCACTCCACTGTTTCTGCTGTATCCTCGTCCGATGGGAGGGGACTGTGCAGGGCCCTGAGCGAGGGTTCTAGTTTCTCACATTCTTGTAGACACTTGTTATTATCTGGCTTTTGATGATGCCCCTTGTGGGTGTGAAGTAATACCATTCTGTGGTTTTGGTTTATGTTTCCCTGATGATGAATGATGTCAAGCAGCGTGTCATGGCCATTTGCATATCTTCTTCGCCCTTTTTAAATTGGGTTTTTTCCCCTTATTCTGTGGTAAGAGTTCTTGACATGGTCTGGTTACAAGGAGATATTTCATTGGCAAGTATTTTCTCTCATTCTTCGGGTTGTCTTTTCACTTTCTTGATTGTATCTTTTGATACACGACACTTTTTTTTATTTTGACAAAGTCCAGGTGATCTTATTTTTTCTTCTGTTGCCTGTGGTTTGGGTGTCATATTTCAGAATCCACTGCCAGATGCAAGGTCGTGAAGATTTTCACCTTTCCTTATTTATTTAGGAGAGAGAGTGTACATGCATGTGTGCAAACTGGGGAGGGGAAGAGGGAAAGAGAATCTCAAGCAAACCCCCAGCTAAGCATGGAGCCTGCTGCTCCGTCACATCTGTAGATCGCTGTGGGCCTTGTACTTTTCAGCGCCCTTCGTGTGTATTAACCCATTAATTTCCACAGCAGCTCTGTGAGCCGGATCCTACGTGTATCCCCGTTGAACAGGTGATGAACCTGGGCTGGCTAGGGAACTTGCCTGAAAGTCACACAGCTGGCCGGCCAGGGCCCCGAGTCTGTGCTCCGAAGCAGCGTGCTAACCTGCCTCTCTGCAGTGACTGGCTTTCTCGGGCCGGTCTCCCCGAGGGGAGGATGTTCTCGGCCTTTCCCCTGGCCAGCCGGCGGAGTCTCCAGAAGACCCCACAACCGGTCCACACTCCTTGTGTTCCAGGCAGCAGGCGAAGATGGCGTACTCCTCCAAGGATCCCGCCAAGCCAAAAGGGGGCTCGCAGGTGGATGTGAGTGAGGAGGCTGAGGTTTTGATCGTCAAGTCCCCCCAGAAGGAGCGGGAGCCGTCTCTGTTCAAGGTGTTATACAAGACCTTCGGGCCCTACTTCCTCATGAGCTTCTTATTCAAGGCCGTCCACGACCTGATGATGTTTGCCGGCCCAGAGATCTTAAAGTAAGACCCCTTCCCTCTCAGCTGGGCAAGTTTTTGTGTTCCTGACCTTCCACAGGCAGCACTCCTAACCTCTGCCTTGGGGTCACGTGGGGTGCCCCACGGGCTTAATTACAGCCGAGCCTCTCTGTCTTCACCCACTTTGCCCAGTACTTTGCTTTGACACCATCTGAACTCAAGCCATTTTGGTTGCAAGTAACCGAAACCAACTTCCCCTGAAGCCAGAGGAGGAGAGAGGAATGTCTAGGGAAACTGAGAACAAGAAAATGAGCCAGACTGTGTCAGACTGCAGCCTGAAAACAGAAAGTCACAAGGAGGTCCCCTCCCTCCTCTCTCTCGTTACCTCTTTATGTCTCTGGGGGGGGGCCACCCGCTCCTCGTCTTTGCCTTCCTACCTTTGCCTAACATACTCTCTGGTCACCTGCGGGTGGCTTTCTGGTGACGAGCCAGAGCAGTCGGTACGAGAAGCCACCTGCACCTGCTGGGGCAACCTGCACGGCCCCATCACCCCTGTGGGTTTGTTTTTCTCTGCATAAAATGGCAGGAATAACACCCGCCCCACCTGGCTCAGGGAGAGTTGAAATGCGGACGTGGGAGGACTTGTTCCCTGCGTGTGTGCGTCAGGCTCTGGTCCTTCCGTCCTTGCTCCCTCAGATTGCTCATCAACTTCGTGAACGATCAGGAGGCCCCGGACTGGCAGGGCTACTTCTACACCGTGCTGCTGTTCGTCAGCGCCTGCCTCCAGACCCTCGTGCTGCACCAGTACTTCCACATCTGTTTCGTCAGCGGCATGAGGATCAAGACAGCCGTCATTGGTGCTGTCTACCGGAAGGTGGGTGGGGTCAACCGGAAGGTGGGTGGGGTCAACCGGAAGGTGGGTGGCATCTCTTAGAAGGCAGGTGAAGGCCGGTCCTCACACCCAGGGGGTCACGTTGACGTCTCCCGGTGTATGTAGCCTCAGAATCTCTGGGGACCTGGCTAGGTCACCCCCAAGGCCACCGTGAGGATTTCAAGCCCAGCTTCTAGAGCAGTAGCAGGAGGCCAGCCCACATGACCGCAGCTGGCCACAGTTGCCCATCAGGTGTGAGACCTTATCAAAGCTGATGTGTAGCATGTCCTTGAAGCCTGTGTCAGCCATGCGGAAAGGAGTTTCTTAGGTGGCACTCGACTTGGGAAAATGCATGTTCACGCTGTCACTGCCATTGATACTCCATTTGAGCTTGTTCTGACTCTGCATATGAACTGGGCAGGTGGTCCTTTCCCTGGGTAGTGGAGTGCTTAGGCATTTAGGCAATCCAGCTTTAAGGAAATTTCTTGGTTCCTTCAATTTATAAGCTTCTGGGGCGAAGACACTGCTTGGGCCCGTGGGTGGAGAAGAGACTGCCTAGCAGGTAGTCAAGAGAGATGGGCCAGTTCGTTGGTTCTGAGCCCTGTCTGTAAGTTGGACTTGCTTGGAGAACTTCAGCAACTCCCACTGCCCAGGCTGCTCTGCAGACCAACAAAATCAGGATCTCTGAGGGTGGGACCCAGGCATCTTTATTTCTTAAATTCCCCAGGCAGTAGTGTGAAACCATGTTTGAGAATCAGGACAATTTTATCCTTCCAAGGGATGTTTGGAAGATGTCTGGAGATGTCTTTGGTTTTTGGTTGTCCTAACCAGAGATGGAGGTGTCTAGTTAGAGGCTGAGGATGCTGGTGAACACCCTGTAAGGCACAGGCCAGTCCCACAAAGACGTATCCAGCTTCAAATGTCAGTCATGCCAAGACTGGGAAACCCTGACCTTGACCTTGCTCCTTGAGTGTGATCTGCGGACCAGCAGCATCTGCATCATGTGGGAGCATGTTAGAAATGCATCGCCCCAGGCCCGTACCCCAGTCCTTCCAAATCTGAAACGACGCTGTAACAAATTTCCCCAGTGATGTGTGTGCCCCCTTCAGTGTGTGACACCCTGGTTTAGGTGATCTTGGGGTCCCTTCCATATTACGGAAGTCAGGATGAGGGAGAGACCGTCATTGATAAGAGCTGGGGCTTTGCGATGGGACCTACGAGCTGGGAACGCAGATAAGGTAGGAAGGCAGGAGAAAAGAGAAGTGGTTTTCTGTTCCTGAGCTGTGTTCTTCCTCCACGTGGACTTGGACGAAAGGGTTTTGCCTGCTAGACTCACCATCTTTCTCTCTCCATTGTCCTGCAGGCCTTGGTGATTACCAACTCAGCCAGAAAGTCCTCCACTGTCGGGGAGATTGTCAACCTCATGTCTGTGGACGCCCAGAGGTTCATGGACTTGGCCACGTACATTAACATGATCTGGTCAGCTCCTCTGCAAGTCATCCTTGCTCTCTACCTCCTGTGGCTGGTGTGTGTTTGACGTTGTTCCCCTTGTGCAGAGGGAGGGACCACCTCATGTGGGCAGTGGGGGTGAGGGAGTGGGTGTCGGTGATAAGAACCTCTGTCATTCACTGGGGTTTTTTTTCCTTGACATCATTCACACTTTATTTTCTGGTCTGTTGGACAGTTTCTGGTGTCATATCTGTTTTCTCGGTTTTTGGATTTATGCTCTTTTTGATGGCATGATACTTGTTTGCGTTTGTTTTTTTTAAAGATTTTATTTATTTGACAGAGAGAGAGAGATCACAAGTAGGCAGAGAGGCAGGCAAAGGAGGCGGGGGGAGCAGGCGCCCCACTGAGCAGAGAGCCCGATGCAGGGCTCCATCCCAGGACCCTGGGACCATGACCCGAGCCGAAGGCAGAGGCTTAATCCTCTGAGCCACCCAGGCGCCCCCCTTTTCCTCCTTCACTAAGGATGAAGTCCTACCCATCTTTAAAGGCAGTGACACCTGCCAGATCCAGATTGCTTTTCTCTCAGGATTAGATGGATTTCTTCCTTTTTTTCCTTTTTTGGGGGAGGGGGATTTTGTTTATTTATTTGACAGAGACACAGTGAGAGAGGGAACACAAGCAGGGGGACTGGGAGAGGGAGAAGCAGGCTCCTACTGAGCAGGGAGCTTGATGCGGGACTCGATCCCAGGACCCTGGGGTCATGACCTGAGCCAAAGGCCGACGCTTAATGTCTGAGCCACCCAGGCACCCTGGATTTCTACCTTTTTAAAATCCCAATAATTTAGTAAAGGAGCTCCCCTGATACTACCTTCTAGAATAGTTTTTTGCTGCTTGGTATAGCTGCTCCTCCTCTCCTGATAAGTGTCTTGGTTACTCATGGGCTCAGTGTCTTGGTTTTTTTTGTTTGTTTGTTTGTTTAAGATTTTATGTATTTATTTGACACACGCACGCTCATGCATGATTAGGGGGAGGGGCAGAGAGAGAAGTAGACTCCCTGGGGAGCAGGGAGCCATATGCGGAGCTGGATCCCCAGACTCTGAGATCATGACCTGAGTCAAAGTCAGGATGCTTAACTGACTGAGCCAACCCAGCGCCCCTCAGTGTCTTGCTTGTGCCTTATTTTTTATTTCCTGTGAGTGTAGTCCCAGCAGGGCCCGGTGCCTAATAAGTGTGCAGCAAATTATCCATTGATTTGACTGTAGTTTACATATTTTTTTTGGTCTGTTTATACAGCAGAAGATAAGTGATTATAAATTGTTTCTAGAAATGAAACTTAGAAATAAATAGCAGAGTCTAAATGTCTTTTGGGGCCGACATCTTGGGGTATCCACTTCTCCAGAAATTTCAGCCACGGGTGAAATAGTTTTTGGAGCATTTCTTTTAGAATCAGCCTCCAGGGACGCCTGGGTGGCTCAGTTGGTTGAGCAGCTGCCTTTGGCTCAGGTCATCATCCCAGCGTCCTGGGATCGAGTCCCACATTGGGCTCCTTGCTCAGCGGGGAGCCTGCTTCTCCCTCTGCCTCTGCCTGCCATTCTGTCTACCTGTGCTTGCTCTCTCTCCCTCTCTCTCTCTCTCTGACAAATAAATAAATAAAATCTTTAAAAAAAAAAAATAGAATCAGCCTCCAGGGGTGATTCATGAACCATTAAGAAGATTGTTCTGTTTTAGATGAGGGTTGCTGAATGTATCATTGACATTTGGGGCCAGATAGTTTCTTGTTGGGGCGGGGGTTGTCCTATGCACTGCGGGATGTTCAGTGGTGTCCTTGGTCTTTTCACTCTGATACCAAGAACACAGTCCCCTGCTACCTTCCCCCCTGCCACTTGTGACCCAGATGTCCCTTAGGGGCAATTCTTCCCTGTTTGGGAACCACTGGTTTGGATAGAAAACCAGCTTTCTCTGTTCATCCGTTAAAAATATAGTATAGGATGGGGCACCTGGGTGGCTCAGTGGGTTGGGCCTCTGCTTTCAGCTCAAGTCATGATCCTGGGGTCCTGGGATCGAGCCCCACATTGGGCTCTCTGCTCAGCGGGGAGCCTGCTTCCTCCTCTCTCTCTCTGCCTGCCTCTCTGCCTACTGTGATCTCTCTCTGTCTGTCAAATAAATAAATAAAAAAAGTCTTTAAAATATATATATATATATATATATATATATATATATATATAGTAGGAGGAGCACCTGCGTGGCTCAGTGGGTTAAAGCCTCTGCCTTTGGCTTAGGTCATGATCCCAGAGTCCTGGGATCGAGCCCCGCATCGGGCTCTCTGCTTAGCGGGGAGCCTGCTTCCTTCTCTCTCTGCCTGCTTGTGATCTCTGTCTGTCAAATAAATAAAATCTTAAAAAAAAAATACAGTATAGGATAGTGACAGTGGTGTGGGCTCAGGAATGAGACTGTCTGGGTTCAAATCCTGCCTCTTCAATGATTAGGTTTGTGATGTCATTCCCTAAGGTCACTAAACCTCAGTGTGTCTTCATCTGCAAAGTGGTGATGGTAATGTTACATTTCATCATAGGGATGTTGGGATGAAGGAATGAATCAGTACAGGTTATGTTCATAGAACGGTGTATGGGGTATGAACACACTGAGTATCTTTTTTTTTTTTTTTTAAGATTTTGTTTATTTATTTGACAGAGATCACAAGTAGGCAGAGAGGCAGGCAGAGAGAGAGAGGAAGGGAGGCAGGCTCCCTGCTGAGCAAAGAGCCTGATGCGGGGCTTGATCCCAGGACCCTGGGATCATGACCTGAGCTGAAGGCAGAGGCTTCAACCCACTGAGCAACCTACGTGCCCCGAGTATCTTTTAATTATTGTTTGCTGTCAGAGTTTATTCTGAATGCTTTAGATTGTTGGTAGAAATCACTTCATTCTCGAAGGTGGGTAATTGGTCACTGGGTGGAGATACTTTGCAGAAACTGTTATGAGCAACAGCAGCATTTTTGGGGAGACTAGGACCAGTGCCCCCATGTGCATTGACTTGGAAGAGACTAGCCCTCCTGGTTTTCCGAATGCTTAAGGGGGAGAAAAAAATCACATTACCCTGTAGTTTCATCCATGTGAGTATGTGCACTGGGCCAGTTTCTCAAGCTGTATTCTTTTCAGGTGTTGAAATTAAAAAATGGAGATCTGTATCTTATCTTGGCATCTTAACCTCTCAGGGGTAGTTTCCTTATCTGCCACTCGGATAATAGAACAAGTCTACAACCTCTTATCTACATACCCCCAAACCCAAAAGGTGTGGAAGTTTTCCTTAACTCGTGTGGTGCCTTAACCTGACCTGAGGTGAGCTGAGGGGAAGTGTTTGTGATCTTGATTATTCTCTCAGGCCGATACTATTTTGGTGATGAGAGGTCAGTACCCTTGATGACGGAGTGCTGTGCTAGGGCCCAGGGGTCGTGTAATGCAATATATGGACTCGCTTGGGTCAGCAGTCCCCGAGACCACACCAGGTTGCTAGGAGGACTTGGGGCTTTCATTTTTATAGCAGGAGAAAGCAAAGGGTGAATACACAGGAGGAGGAATGGGGGGTGGGTGGCAGGAAGCAGGTACAGACTTCGGGACTCCTCTCCCAGTAGCCTCACACAGGATGCACTTAATTGCCTAGCAACAAGTTCCACAGCGTGGGAAATGTTGTCAGCCAGGGAAAGTTTGATAGAGACCCAACACCCAGGGTTTTTACTGGGGATTGGTTGCACAGGTGTCCTCTGCTTGGCCCATACCAGACTTTCAGACTCTCAGAAGACAAAGGGGGTTTCAGCATAAGCTATAGCGTTTGTACAGAGTTGAGGCCCAGCGAACTACTCGTACCAATTCTGAGAATGGTGGGAGCCCTCCCTAAATCCAAGCTCCCAGATGGCAGCCAAGGGCCTATTCTTTAAGTAGGCCTTCAAACACGATAAACCATTAGACTGGCTGTGTTAACTCTTTGCTATTCAACGCTCTCTTACCTTTCTGAAGTCCTTTAGAGAAAGCATGAGAGCTGGGGGCCCTCCCAGCTCTCCTTCAAGCAGAAGGAGAGGGAGACAAGCAGACACCCTGCTGAGCAGGGGAGCCCCACACAGGGCTCGGTCCCAGAACCCCGAGATCATGGCCTGAGCCGAAATCAAGAGTTGGCAGCTCAACTGACTGAGCCACCCAGGTGCCCCACCGTTCTGAAGTTCTAATTTCTGAAACTCATCTGGCCCTGTCATGTTCTTAAAGGGGTTGTAGGACCCCAGGGGAGGCTCACAAATAAATCTGAATATTCTTATAAGCCTGTCGCTGGGTAAGAGTGACACATCTGCCCTGAAGATGATCGGCCAGGTCTGCAGGATCAGCCAGAGAAGCCCCCTGTTAAAGACCTCTGTTCTCTTTCTTCCTTAGAACCTGGGCCCGTCCATCCTGGCTGGGGTGGCTGTGATGATCCTTATGGTTCCTGTCAATGCCGTGATGGCCATGAAGACCAAGACTTACCAGGTTGGGTGTCTGTTGCCACAGGGCTCCAAGTTGGGCTCTTGTCGAGGCCTTTCCATTTGGGTTCTAGCTGAGTTCTTCACAGGCCCCGGAGGGGTTCTCAGCCCTGCATGCCTGTCCGAGTGCCCTGAGGAGCTTTCCCAAATGCTGATTCCTGGGCTCCATTTCTGGGATTCTGGTTCATTTCATGTTGGTGAGACCCCAAGCATCAGTTTTTAAAGCTTCCTGGGTGATTCTGGTGGACTGCCAAGGTTAGGATCCCCGAAATAGCTAGACCTAGGCCAGTGACCAGAATCACATGTGTGAGCCTCTGGGAAATTCCTTATTTCCCACAAAATTCAATCATTTACGTGTTTTCTGTGCATTTTCAAGAGTTGAGTAGACATTTCTCCCTGACTTTTTTCCCCCTCTTACCTTATGCTAGGCTCAGTGTTCAACTCTCTTCAGCAGTGTTTTGTATTTTTTAAGTTTTTCAATATCCAAGTGACAGAGCTGTTGCCTTCTTATCATAAAAAAATGTTCCATTGATAGAAAAGTGTATAGATTAAAAGGGAATATTTCCTTCCCTTTCCTTTCCGTGTCAGTGAGCATGTTGAAGCAAACCCTTCTCGAACTTTCTGTGTATTTATAGAGAGCTCTGATTATACAGTTAGGTTTCATGGTGGGCCTGGGTGTGTTTCTTCGTGGTGTCACCACCATATATGTTTTTATACACATGGCCCATTTCGCAACCTGGTCTGATCATTTGAGACCACGTCTCAGGGATCTTTCCATCTAATGTGACTTCATTCTCTTGAACTGGCACCACATGGTCCATAACCAAGAGGGGCCAGAGTTGATGTCTCTGCTCCTCTGTTGGTGGCTCTTTATGATGTGCCTGTGGAACTGCAAATAAGAATGCTTGACTGCGCTGATGATGAGTCCCAGGACGGGGACCTGTTGGAATGAGGCCTCCGCAGGTGCGGGTGGGAGGAGGTTATGCAAGAAAGGGGCCCTGTCATCTTTCGTCCTCTGAATGCTGTGTAGTAGGCTTCCCTGAGTGGCCCACTTTTGAAACCGCGTCAGTCACTGGCTTTGGCTTTCCTGGACTTAAAAAGCGTCCTCATCCGTGACCTGGGAATGACCAGAGCCCTCAGCGACAGTTCTTAGGAGCACGAAGTGGCTAGATGCATGCCCAGTGCTTAGAAAAGGGCTCGGCATCTGGAAGACGCCCAGTGCTATCTAACGGGTAGTATGGCTCAGTAGAGAAACTAAGGAAACGGAGGCGGGAAGAAAAAAAAACCCAAAAACCCCAGCATCGTTGTCTCTCTTGTGTTTGGATCAGCAGAGTAGGGTCCCTGCCCGCCTTCCCTGGACACCGCAGGGTTGTTCTTGTTTCTGCTTCTCAGATCTAAGTTTAATAAGTGTCTTAATCAGTGTCCCATTTAACGTGATCCAAAGCAGGTTCTTCCCTCAGTAAAGGAGTCCTTTGTGCCCTCAGGGTCAAAAGGAGGAGGATTCATAGGGATTTCGGGGTCAGCTTTTGCACCCTTCTGAAGGCCCCCTTCTCCCATGGGGCCAGACGGGGTCCCCCGCTGTGGTGTCAACTGCTCTTGTCTCTGAAGGTGGCCCACATGAAGAGCAAAGACAATCGGATTAAGCTGATGAATGAGATTCTCAACGGGATCAAAGTGCTCAAGCTTTACGCCTGGGAACTTGCCTTCAAGGACCAGGTGCTGGCCATCAGGCAGGAGGAGCTGAAGGTGCTCAAGAAATCGGCCTACCTGGCAGCCGTGGGAACCTTCACCTGGGTCTGCACACCTTTCCTGGTGAGTGAAGCCACGCCCACCCTAGCCCGCCTCACGGAGGGGGGGGGTTTGGTTGTGTTCTCATGCCCGAACATGTTCAAAAAGGTCAAGGGTTCATCGAGGCCTGGTCCTACCACTCCTTGGATGAATGGCCACCCACCCCCTCCCCCACTTCATTGTCTTCCCAGCTCTTGGTAGCTCCCAGCCCAGGGGTCCTCAGAAGCAGCCACTTCTAGGAGCTGCTGGTTTATAGGTTCACGATGAGATAAGAAATTTGTGCCAGAATGTCAAGCAGCTCTCTCTGTGTCCTTGTTAGAAAAACGTGCGGCAGAACTGCGCTGTGCCCTCGGTGTCATAGTCGGGTGACAGCACTGTGTCAGCATTTCCTCCATTGCCGACCAGTCAAGAGCCCAGGATTTGGCAGGTGCCAGACGTGCTCTAAGATGTGCTTATTGTCTGTCTGTCCCTCCATGAGAAGGGCAGCTCCCGGAACGGGAAGGCAGGGATTTTGTCTTCTCTGTGCACTGCCGTACCCACCGTGCCTAAAATAGCCCATCGTAGGTGCTCAGCAAATACTTGTCATTTGTTGTTAAAAAAAAAAAAAAAAAAAATTGAATCCATACAGAAACTCATCAAATGAAAAGTATATTGTCTTCTTTTCCATCTGTTCCCTTTCTCCAGAGTATTTGAGAAACACTGGAAAAAGCAGGAGTGAGTGAGCTTTTTCTACCAAGGACCGGCTAGCGAACATTGTAGACATTCTGGGCATAGCCTCTCTGCTGCTATATTTTCTTTCTTTTTTTTTTTTTAAGATTTTTATTTATTTATTTGACACAGAGAGAGATCCAAGTAGGCAGGCAGAGAGGGGGGGGAAGCAGGCTCCCCGCTGAGCAGAGAGCCCGATGTGGGGCTCGATCCCAGGACCCTGAGATCATGAGTTGAGCTGAAGGCAGAGGCTTAACCCACTGAGTCACCCAGGCGCCCCTCTGCTGCCTCTCTTCTTTGCTGCCAATGTGACCATCCGTAATAGACACGGGAACAGGCGTGGCTACATTCCCCTAAAAATTTCTTAAAGATACTGAAATTTGAGTTGCACATAAGCTTCCTGTGTCATATATTATTTTGATTTTTAAAAAAATTATCTATGTCTGTTAAAGTATTCTAAGCCCATGGGCCAGATATAAACAGGTGTGGACCCCTAGGGTGCCTGTTGAACTTGGCTGCGATCTCTTGGTGTGACCCAAAACCAGTTAGTCCGCCTCCCTGCCTCTGGGTTCTTGCGTATGGAACATGGAAGGGCTGGGCCACGGGGGTGTCACACAGGCCTCTGCCTGCCCCCCACTCCTGTCCCCGCACTAGATGTCCACAACGCGTCGTGGGGTTCTCTCCCACTGAGTTCTTTTTGGGCCACCCTCCCGGTGACCAGTGTCAGCGGACTGGAGCTGCCATACAAAGTGACCTCTTTTAGCCAGTCTGGGACTTCAAGTTCTCTTAGATCCTTTCTGGCTCACATATGCCAGCATTCGTGGCTGGAAAGGTTCTGCCAGCTCATCCTTTGAGAACACTCTGGTCTCCCCAACTTTCCCCAGATCTCTGATGGCTTTCTTTGATTTTTAGAATTAAAAAGCATCTGAAGACTGGTGTTCATTTGATTATTTTCCTTTAAACTCTTAAATAGTCTCAGTGTGTTTATAATTGTTAACTGTTCTTCTTTGTATGATGCATTTTATTTTAAAAAGGACAGTGTATTCCTTGGTAAAACTAGTTGAAGCTGTTCCAACAGGTCCAGGACAGGGTTTCTCAAGCTCAGCACCGTTGCCGTTTGGGACCCGATAATTCTTTTTTTCTTTGTGGGGTGGAGGGGCACCGTCCTGCTCATTGTAGGGGTGTTCCGCAGCATGTCTGGACTCAACCCAGCAGAGGCCAAGTGTCACCTCTTCCCCCTCTGTGTCCCCGCTCCCAGTTGGGACAATCAAGTGTCTCCAGACACTGCCAGGTCTCCTGTGGTAGAGAACCGCAGGTGTGTCTCCGTCCTCAGACTTTGGTCATCTAGCCTTCCTCTCTACCAGTATCTTCTGCATATTTCCAGGGAAAGCCTGTGCATGCAGCAGCATAGCAGTGACTGTCCATCATAAATGTAACTGAACTTACTTATCTCTTACTTAGCTTGACACACATGATGGTAAGTCATACAGAAATCCAGAACATTTTGAGTCGCATTTCTTTCATAGGAAAAAGCTCTGCAGCCAGAGGGAGAAACTGACAGGGTTCAGTACTTAGGTTGTGTTACACTTGGGGTGGGGGAAACTTCCCATAACCCCAAGCTCTTCTGACTGAGTGTCCAGTTTCTAGCTTGTCTTCACTTAACATCTCCTGCCCTAGTCTCCATCAAGAGATACTTAAGAGCGCAACTGGCTTTTCTTGACCTTGAATTTGCCGCTCAGTATAGTGTTGGGGGGTGGGGGTAGGGGTAACGGGCTTCCAGAGATGAGTTTGTTAAGCTGTTTGGCATGAAACAGATGAGCCTGGGTGTCAGTTGGAGACCTTGCCCCTAGCTGGGACACTGAAGCCTCTGACTACATTAGGATAAAATATGTAGCCTTTGGTTCCCTTGAAAGGTGTTTGCATGTTCTTTCCACTGGCGAATTCCTACGCTTCAAGGGTGATGAGGTGTTTACCCACCGGAAGGTGTGATGGAAGACAGAGGCCTGAGGAGGTCAGACAAGAGTGGGGATGCCATTTTGGTGGGATTGATGGGATTGTTTTTCTGAAATACAGAGCCTGGCATCCATCATGTACACTTAATGTGCTTTTAAAAATAGTATCCGCAGGCTGCCATCAATATTTAGCATTTTGAGTCTTGGAAGATTTGGGAGTTTCTCCTCTTCTATTTATCCTTCCTCTCTTTGTTAGGATAGTTATCATTCTATATGGTAGGTAATTAGCCATTGTGTATTTCTTTGCTGATCAGATCATACGGGGACGTTATCTTTTCTTTTTTTTCTCTTTTTTTTTGGCTTGCATTCCTAGAACTGGACTTGGCAAATGGTGCACATTCAGTAAATGTAAAGTAGGGGAATAACTGAATGAGTAAAAGTTTTTGAATAAACTGTGTTAGTCAGGAACTGGGTTGCAGTTGGCAGAAACCTTGCTCAAGTTGACTAGATTGAAAAGGAAAGTGGAATTTTTGAGTCACAAGACTGAAAAGTGTGAGAAATTGCTGGTTTTGAGCATGACTGGGGTTTCAGTCATGGCTGGATCCAGGTGTTCCTGAGGGAGTGACAAGCTCCCCTTCCCCCCTGCCTGTCTCTCAGCTGTGCATTCTCCGTGGTGTTTTCTTTTGTCAGGGAGCTGCTCACCACATAATTACCGTTCATCCTGTCATCTGAGTAACCCCTGTGGGGAGAGGCCCCATTAGCCCATTTTCCCATTAGTCTCAGCAAAGCTGTGGGATTGGGTGTCACTGTGGTATTGCAGTTGGCCACGTGCTTATGCCTGAATCGCTGGGGCCAAGGAGATGGGATGCTTGGATTGATGAGCTTTGTGTGGCTTCTGTGGGAGCTTGGGGTGGGACATGAGCAATTCATTTATGGCCGAAGCTCATTGAGATAAAAGAAAATTGGGGTATCCCAGAAATGGGAGTGGATAATGGGCAGACTGAATGAACAGATGTCCTACACAAAGAGACATCAGGTTTTTCAGGAGTTGGGCTGGAGTAGATGGTTCATTTCTTTGCCACATTTCTCAGTGTGGAAGCACTATTAGCTCCTGGAGTGGGACACTTGTTATTCATTGTTTGCAAAAGCTTTTTACATCCTTGACTCTCACCCATCACAAAGCTGTGGCAGACCCCAGGCCCCCTTCTCTACACTGACCCCACGCATCTCCACCCATTCCCAAATACCCCTTCTAAAGAGAGTTCACTTAATACCTGTTTCCCCTAGACCGTGAGTCTCAGGAATGCCAGGCCTGCCTTACTCTTCAACACACAGGGCTGATACACAGTAGGTGCTCAGTTAATCATTGCTAAAGAATGGCCTCCACTTCTGGAGAAGCCAGGGCCATGGAACTGATGGGCCACGTGATGTTATTCCCTCTCTACACATGCTCTGTGCTGTCAGCAGCTGCCCTGATGATGGCGATGGTGGGGTGGTGTGTTCTGGTGGCGAGATGCCTGCAGCCTGATTTTCCCCACTGCTGAGGAGACACCTCTGAATTTGTTATCTTCTATCCCCAGCCACATCTAGCCCCTACCCACCCACCCATCTGTTTATGTGTCCATCTGTCCATTCATCACTCCACAAACATTCACTGAGGATCTGGCCATGGTTCAGATTTCTGTCTATACTAGCTGCGAGCTAGTACAGACAGAACTCGCTGCCCTCATGAAGTGGTCATTCATTCTAATTGGGAGAGACAGATGATCAACATTAGACATAATAAATACGCTGTATAGTGTACAGTTAGTTGTAAGTGCTATGGAAAAGAAAAAGATTGAGGCCGGGGTGGAATAGGTAGGGCTTACAGTTTCAAATAGGATGGTTAAGGGCGTCACTGAGGAGGTGACTTGAGTGAGGGCCCACCGGGGGAGTGGGAGGAGCACGTGCAAAGACCCTGTGGCAGGACAATGCCCACCCAACGGAGGCCAGTGGGGCTGGAACAGGAGCTGGGGGGAGAATGGTAGGAGAGGAAGGGAAGAGATTTTACAAACCAGATAGGCCCTGGGGCTGGAGTCAAGACTTTGGCTTCTGTGCAAAGTCAAATGGACTGACTTCAGAGAGGCGGGTTTTTTGTTCTTTTTTTTTTTTTTTTTAGTGAGCTATAATTTACCATTTTAAAGTGTACAACCCAGTGGTGTTTAATATATTCACAAGGTTGTGCAGCCGTCCCCATTGTCTAATTCCGGAACGTTCCCATCATCCCAGAAGGAAACCCTATAGCCATTGATGGTCACTCCCCATTCTCCCAGCCCAGGCACACTCATCTGCTTTCTCTCCCTGTGGATTTGCCTGTTCGGGATATCTAAGTTGGAATGACCCAGTACGTGGGCTTCATGTGTTCTGGCTTCTGTTTCAGTGAGCATCATGTTTACACGGGTCATCTCTGTCACAGCAGGTGTCTGTGCTTCCTTTTTTAATGGCTGAATACTATTCCTTTGTGTGGAGATACTTGGAGCCTTCTGAGTAAGAACACCTTCGGATGAAAGGCTGGTGCGTCACCCGGCTTGTTAATGTCAGGGCCAGAAAGGAACCAGCTCTACCCCCCAGCGCCTTGCTCTTGGAACCCAGTTAATAGATTCTCTGGAAGAATGGACCATGGAGTTTGAACTGAGTCCTATAGCCAGAAATGAAAACAACGGCCATGTATTACATTTTACTGAGCCCTGGGTAGTGTGTTAAGCACTTCGCAGAAGTGCCTGATTTCTTGCTGCTGGCCGCCCTGTGATGGTGTATCTGGATTCGCATTTTGTAGAGAGGAAAGCAGAGGCTTGCTTGGAGAGGGGAGATGATGTGTCCAGGCTCCTACAGCTGATATGTGGCAGAGCTGTTGGTTTTGATTTTTAAGCTATGTTACCTTCCAGTAGGTAGTAAGGAAATGAGAAGGCTGTGACCCCTGCGCTGGGGCCCTGTGCTGGGCCCTGCACTGGGCCACAACCACACCGGAGGCAGGGCTCCAATGCCAGACCCTGACTCCCGGACATTCTGCTCTGAGCTCAGAAAGGTGGGACCTGAGCAGTTTATGTCCTGCAGAGAAAGCCTTTAATGGCTCTGGGATCCTGGGGCTAATATGGGGGACAGGGACTGGTGTGCATCTGTTGAGGTCCAAGGTTGTCCAGATGGCTTCTGATAGCATGTTCTGGGCAGTCTTTGTGGGATGCCTGCCATTAGCCCTGCCTGGCGACACCTGGCCCCTGTCTGTCCCCAGCAGTATAGGAGAGGCACAGGAGTCCGCCTGTTGATCTCCTACCTCCCTCCCAAGCAGAGCAGCCTGACCCCAGATTATTGAGACTGTCCTCCCTTTCTCCTGGCAAGGGAGATGAGGAGCCATTGTCTCAAGCATCAGAACCCAAGTTCCGGTCGGCTGGGAGCCTGGGTGGTTAAGTCCCAGGAACCACCACAGGGCTTAATGCAAGTCTGACTTCGTGAGGAAGGGAGTACCTTTGTGTGTTAGTTTTGCTTGCCCTTTTTTTAAATTTTATTTTTATTTTATTTTTAATAATGTTCCTTTCCTGGGGCTATAAAATCATATATTCTATGAGCTAAAAGGAATTTTAAATAGTGCCATTAACCATTTGCGTCCAGCCCCGTTTCACAGATGAGATGTGAGGCATGGGAAGAGGAGGTAACTTGCCCAGGGTGTTCCTGTATGCCAGGGATTGTTCAAGGCCCTGAAGATAACCTCTGTGTATAAAACCAAGTCCCTGTCTCTGCGGAGCTTCCGCCGTAGTCCAGGAGACAGACAGGACATGCACGTGGTGGTGCTATAAAAGGTCGTGGTAGTTGCTGCGGAGAAAAATAAGCCAGGATAAAAGGATGGAGAGCCAGAGCAGGGTTGTTTTGGGTGGAGGGGCAGGGCAACCTCTCCAAAGGGTCGGAGGGAAGAACCAGGCCACCATCTGCATGGAAAGGTTGTTTCAGGCAGAGAGACCACAGGGGCAAAGGCCCAGAGGGATTACACTGGGTGGTGTTGAGGGATCCCCAGCATGTCTGTCCACTGTGATCTGGAGAAGGTTGGTGCAGAGGCCAGGACTTGGAGCTCTCGGTTGCCCATTTATCTGGTACATTCTTTGAGTGTTTAGTGAGTGTCTCCTATGTGCTAGACACTGCCTTAGGTGTTTCCTGCTGCCTCCAGGGGCCTGTTGTGGGACGGGGTGGGCTCAAACACACTGTGGGGGGTCAGGGGGAGGGCAGCTCCTCTTAGGGTTGTGTCTGTGATGCAGGGACACAATCAGTGCTGGACGCTCTGCTTACAGGTGGCCCTGTCTACATTTGCCGTCTACGTGACCATCGACAAGAACAACATCCTGGATGCCCAGAAAGCTTTCGTGTCCTTGGCCTTGTTCAACATCCTTCGATTTCCCCTGAATATTCTCCCCATGGTCATCAGCAGCATCGTGCAGGTACAGGCGAGGCTGGAGGGACCTTAGGGAGGGGGTTCTGGGGAAAGGAAGTAAAAGGGCCTACAGATCCTGCTCCATACAGCTCCCCCTTCATTACCTGTCCCACCTGTGCCCAGTCGGGTGGACGAGGCTCACACCGGTGGCTTTCGTGCTGTTTTGGTCATGCCCCAAAGAAAGGAATACGTTACTTATTGACGAGGAACTCACACTTGAACGTACAACACAAATACTGCACGCCACCAGGCTTCCCCAAGCTCCGTAAGGTTCTGAAATACTTACCCTGTTCGAGGCGGTCTGTTCCTCTCTGCTCCGTCATCCTCTACTTTTTCAAAACTGCGTTTCTTGACTTATTAAATTGATTTCACAACCCACTGATAGACCTCAACCCACTGCTGGAAAAACCCTAACCTAGATCCCCCAGAAATCCAAAAGTCCATGGCAGTGACTCTATAAGGTGAGGAGACTGTCCACTCGGTCACACTTTCACTCCATGTGAAGGAGCTCCTGCGCTTTCCAACGGGAGGGATGTTTTCGTCGTCTTCTCCCCAGCATTTGAACGCATTCATACTGAAAACCCAGTTATCAGCCACACAGGCAAATGCACCTTAAGATTTGGTTGTACAACTCTGGTTAAAAAAATAATTAAGCAAATAAAACCCCTTTTTGTTATGAAAAATTGCAAATGTACACAGACCTAGGGTGAGAACAAACAGTGTTAACAAACTCCATGTAGCATTTACCCAGACTGAACATTTTGCCACACTTGGCTCATCGAATCCTTCTTCATTCTTCCCCTTTCCTGCTTCCTTTCTTCCTTTCCTTGCCAAAGAATTCTTTTCCTTCCTTCGTTTTTTTTAAGATTTTTTTAAATTTTTAAGTAATGTCCACATCCAACTTGGGGCTCAGACTCATCACCCCAAGATCAAGAGTCACGTGCTCCACCAGTGCAACCAGACTCCCCTGAAGAATTTTAAAGCAAATCCGAGACCTCTTGACATTTCACCTGTAAATATTTGAACGTGCATGTCTTCTGTTGTTCAGTGGTTTTGTGTTTTTGGGTTTTTGGTTTTTTTGTTCTGTTTTGTTTTGTTTTTTTTGCTTCAGTTTATTTGTAGGAGATAGAATTGATAAATAACATTGTGTAAACTTAAGGCATATCCAGTGAATGACCACAGGAGTGTTTGCTGACACCTCTAGCACATTGTTCATTTCCTTTTCCTGTTGGGAACCGTGGAGACGATGTCTCTTGCCATCTCTTGGCTCGCAGCGTGTGGAGGGCGATCATTCAGCCGTAGAGCTCCCGGGCTTCCTTCTCCCTTGGTAGCGAGCTTGTACCCCTGCGTGTGGTTATTGTTTCTGAAGTCCCTTGTCTTCCAGGACAATCTCCCTACCCTCTTTTTTAATACCTGTGATGGGCTTTGGAAGGAAAACAAACAAGAACCCAGACCTGTATGTGTCTCATTCTAAGGGACGCTCTTATACGAAACACGAAGCTGCCAGGGGAAACCTCCAACAGCTAGCCTCCGTCGTTTTTGTTTTTGTTTTTGTTTTTTTTCAAAAATGCTTTTAAAAATAACTGCAGTTGCTTTCTGTGTAGGCGAGTGTCTCCCTCAAACGCCTTAGGATCTTCCTGTCTCATGAGGAGCTGGAGCCCGACAGTATCGAGCGAAGGACGGTCAAAGATGGTGTGTGTACCTTGGGTCCCTCAGTGCCCTGAAGGCTCCCCTTGGGTTGGGTGTGAGGCCCCAGGGAACAGGAGCTCTGCGGGAGCCGGGTGGGCGTCAGGGCCTTATCTTGCACATCCCAGGCCGGTGAACTTCAACTTCTGTTTTCTTGGTGCTTTCGCTAAGAGGCAGCCCATGGGGTGGGGCCTCCCACTGAGGGGCCCGTTTCGGGCTCAGATCTTGACTCTGTTCTGGCCAGATGCGCAGGTACAGCAGGGACACTGGAGACTAACCAGCTCCAACCCACCAGCTCTGTGTACCTGGGCAGGTCAGTTGTCCGCTCTAAGCCTCAGTCTCCCTATCTGGGTAATGGGAATGAAGGTATCTTTCTTTGTCAGGGTGTTATGTGGATTTTTATTGGTAGACTTCTTTCTTTGCATACCACAGGGCTGAGCTTTGGGACCGCCTACGGAGGTTTCAGGTTCCTGGAGCTCCTCCCAGCACCCTGCAGGTGTCCTGTTGGAAAGCCCCCAGGCCACCTGGTGCAGTCCAGGCCTCAGCACCCCCTTCCTAGGCTGCTTGACTTTTTGAGATGCTTATCCACACTCCATGGTTGCCAGACGGGGCACCTTGGCGGCTCTCAGCCGTGTCTGGTGGTTTTCTAGCTTGTCTGACTCAAGTGACTTTTCTTAAATTACTTAAATAGCACCTTCCCATTTCCTCCTTGTTCTGTGGGTGTGGGTGAGGGAGGGAAGGTCAGGTTAACCAATAACTGCCTCCTACCAGAGGTTTTTGTTTCTTTGGTGTGCGGGGGAATTTCTCTTTCTCTTTGATAGCTTCAAAACACGCCCATCTTATCTCTAGGTGGTTTTAAGGAGGCTCTTACTGAAGAGTCAGAACTTGTTTATTTAAGCGAGGGACGGGAGGTAGAAGGAGAGGAAGGGGAGGGAAAGTAAATGAAGACGGAGGAGCCTGGAGCTTAGAATCCAGAGCCACTGCTGTCGGTAGAATGCCAGATTTGTCTAATCGTTCTTCCCTTCCTCATTCCCCCCCCCCCCCCCCCCCCGCCTGTTTCACAGCCTGCTTTTTCACAGTGTGACTGGTTTTTCAGAAAGACTGACCTGCTGTGATGTGAGCCTGGCATGAGGGAGAAGGGATGCAGGGAGAGGCGTTAGGAGACAGCCCTACAATCCAAGTGCCTTGGCCCAGGACCCCCCCTTGAATGAGAAGGGAGGGCTGAGGGGGTGGTGAGGGCCAAGGGCCAGCCTGATGGAGAGAACTGCTTGTTCCCCTTGACCCTGCCTTCTGCTTGGTGCCCCAGCCAGAGTTGCCCAATCCTCCCAAGGTGGGGTGAGGGAGGCCCTGGAGCCTTGAGTAAACCCCAAGGAGTCCTCCTGCCTCTGCCAGATGGGCGTCTGGGTGGCGCAACCGTCTGGCATTCAGGGCAGAGCCCTGTTGTGGTTTCTGTCCGCTTTGTGGGGCTGGTTGGGGTTCTTTAGAAACCGGGAATGATGTAACAACATAATGCGCAGGTGCAAGTGTCTAACATCTGGCCCTGAACTAAAAAAGATTAGAAAGAAGAAGAGAGCTTCCTGCTGACGCTCAGTTTCGGGACTTCTGTCCTTGCCTTTGCCTGACATACTGTTGCTGGTGCTTTGCAGGCGGGGGCACAAACAGCATCACCGTGAAGAATGCCACGTTCACTTGGGCCAGGAGTGACCCTCCGACGCTAAGTGGGTAAGCCAGGATGTAGAGCGCTACGAGGCTGTGGTCAAATGTAGGTTGGAATTTCAGCCATACTCTCGTTCTGTAACACTGAATTGGTTGCCTTTCTGAGCCTCAGTTTACCCACTGGGAAATAGGTCAAGTCATACCTTCTTGGGGGAGCAGGTGAGAGTATGCTGGCACAGAGTGTTCCCTTGGATTATAAATGACAGAAATGCTGCATAGGTAGGCTTAGGCAACAAATGGAAATTTTGGGGTTGTATCACCGAGTGCCACACTCAGGTACAGTATGATCCAGGGACTCAGTGTTATCAGGATCTTCTCCATCTTGTCTCTCTTCAGTTTCCCTTTGTGCTGTTTCCTTTTCAAGCTGCCTCTTCCTTCATGACGGCAAATAGCCCTCATTGGCCAGGAGTGTACCCCTTAAGCTGGACTGGAGACCCACCTGCCTCTTATTGGTCTAAATTGGGTCATGTGTCCCTCTTTGAGCCAATCACATGCCAGGAGAGACGGAGCACTCCCGATTGGCCAGGCTGGGTCTGAGGCAGTGATGCTGCAGGTGGTGGTGGACAGGCCTGGGTCTACTGAAAGGAATTCTTTGCAGCAGGGATTTGCTGTTGGGATGGAATTGCTCTTAAGGTCCACGGCTGCCTGAGTCACCCTTTCTTGCCATTTCCTGGTCTGAGACCCTCCCACTACCCAGCCCTTATTTTCCAAAGTGCACAGTGTCTGGGGAGTTGATCTGGTTCCCCAGGCCACTGGTCAGGGGCCTCTTACTCCTTTCTGCCTTGCTTGGTGGCTCTTTGAGGCTTCCCTAGAGGAGTCCCCAAAACACAGGGATGGAAGGGACCTTTTTAGGACCACATTTATTCCCCCTGGCCCCTTAACAATTACCCCTCCCTGGGTGGTATTAACTCCCTGGTTGTGTATTAACTCAGAAAGAGGGGACAGACTCTTTAGAGAAAGGAGTCTTTGTAACACCTCCCTTGCAAACTCCCAGTGGGACAGTGTGCTTGGAAAGTTCTTCCTTCTGTCTAACAACTCCTGCCTGCTTCAATTTTACCTTTTCTCTTTTGTTTCTTTGTCTCTCTTGTCTTTTTGTTCTAGTCACCCCCATCCCTCCAATCTTGAATTCCCAAAACCTTTCCCAGTGCAAACCTATCCTCTCCTCAGCTATAACAATATCCCATTCCCACCTGGACAGTCACAGCTGCCACACTGGGCTTCGTGTTCTGTTGTGGTCCCATCATCCGGTCCCCCTCGGCCCAGGACAGAAGCATACTCGGTGGAACCGTGCAGCACTTTCAGAAGCACTAACCAGTCAGTGACCGCGGAACGTAACAGCATTTCCACTAAGAGTTTGAATCATAATAGCGTCCATTGAAAAGCATAGCTAAAGGAAGGAAACCCAAAGAGGCCCTGGGCTCGGGGTACCTGCCCCTCCCTGGGTGCGTGGAATTAGTCCCAACTTGGCAGCAAGCGACAGCCCCATGTCCTCGGACAGGCAGTCTTGCTGGTGGAGCGTTGATCTTATTGTACTTGGCATTGCCGTCTTTGAGGGGGTGATTTCTCTAGAGACCTGTTTCTCACACTCAGTCATCTTTGTCAGGGCCCGAGGCTTCAGAACCCGAGGCTCCCATCCATGAGGTGTGAGTGTCTTAGCACCGCGAACTGTGATGTCTTCGGGTGTGGCTGCCCCCTGCCACCTCTTCAGGACACCAGCCTTACTCCCCCCTGCCTCGTCCTCTGTGGTGGGCATGTGGGTCCCTGACCACACCTGTTCTTTCACACCTTCAGGCCTTCTCTCCGAGTTGTTCATAGGTTTCCGTGTCTGGTGCTGCTTCCTTTTCCCTTAGAGTTCACACTGAGTGAGGTGTCTGTTCCTCTGGGCACCTGCATTGGCTCCGTTATTGTGACCTGATCCCCCCCACCCCAGGTGTCTCCTGCTGCCTCTGCTTCTCTGAGACACATCTGGATTCCAGCAGCTGTCTGGAGCCTCACACACCTCAGCCCCCTGAGACCAGTCACTGAGTTTAGCTTAGTGGGGGAAATGGCGGGAGTAATTTCCAGACTTTCAGGGCTCGTGACAGCCCTGCCTTCTGCCTCTCTCCACTCAGGGTACAGCCAGCTGTGCTGGGCTGCCACCTGTTCAGGTGAGGGCGAGGCTGAGGCAGAGCCTTTGTGTCATTTCAGCATCACCTTCTCCATTCCGGAAGGTTCCTTGGTGGCCGTGGTGGGCCAGGTGGGCTGTGGAAAGTCGTCTCTGCTCTCAGCACTCCTGGCCGAGATGGACAAGATGGAGGGATACGTGGCTGTCAAGGTAGGACGAAGACCGGGTGGGTGGGGGGCCGCGGGGACTTCTGCCGGCCTGAGGGGAAGGGCGAGCGGGGTGCTGTGTTTTGTTTCATGACGGCCCTTGTGTAGGAAGTGAGAGCAGCAAGGAACTCCCTCTGTCTCTCCCGTTCTGTCTGCCCTTCTCTCTGGCCCCTTGGAAGGCGAGAGTTGATGCCACTAATTTGCCGCTGTATCCCAGCACCGAGACTAGTGCACAGCGAGTAGTAGGCGCTGAGTAAACACTGAGTAAATACACGGATGCTCCCTGGTCCACTCGTGGTCACTCGTTCTCTCCCCATCTGTGGCACTCAGTGTGCATCTCGTGGTCCCTCTTAAAGTGTGAGTCTTTCTGGCTTGTTCTTCCTGTGCACGGATCTCTTTTTGTATCTGTGTTTTATAAATGTAGCAAAACTTAACATTTGTTGTGTCTTTGGGACAGTTTGAAAGGCTGCGTTAGTGAACAGATGAGTCTCTGACAATCAAGAGCCTTGTTTTATGCATGTGGCTTATTCCCTACGGAGGACTTCGCTGGTATAGAAAGCTTGCCTCCAAGTTTTATTGATCCAGCCTTTCCTGGAGTGTGGTCTACAGCAAAGTCACCTTGCAGTTTGGGTAATAGACAGTTCTGGGCTCCCATAAGCTTGGGAGATACTGCAAACTCAGATTCCCTCCCTCTCAGAGACTCAAACATTCATAAAGCAAAGGCTCTGAGAAGTCCCGCAAGGAGAGGAAAACTTACTTAACTTCGGTTAACCCAGTGTGTCCTGGAGGTATTTGCCCGTACTCTTCCTCATCTGTTCAACAGCTGTTTGCCTCCCCAGAAATAATGTCTCCCAGAATCGGCTCTTTGCAATGTTGGTTTATGGAGTTCTTATTTCAGAGCAAAATCCTTTCTTTGTTTACGTGAGGCCCTTTAGCCCGGCATGTGTTAGTAGAGAAGTACACGTAAATAATTGTTGGATCTAAACTGGTGACATTTAGCTGTTATTTTAAGAAATGCGCCATCACTGTTTTCAAGTACACGTTACTAAAGTGAGATCAATGAACAGTGAGACTTCGCTTGACTAAAGAAAACTCCGAACCATCCACATTGTGTTGTTTCGTTAATGAGTTTCTACCCACACAGCGCTGTTGACCTTGCAGGCTGGATGGTTTTCTGCTCTGGGGGGCTGTGCTGTTCCTTGTAGGACGTTTAGAGCATCTCTGACCTCTACGCACTAGATGCTGGTAACAGCCTCCAGTTGTGACAACCAAGAGAGTCTAGACGTCAGATGTCCCCTGGAGAGCAGAATTGCCCCCAGCTGAGAACTGCTGTTTTAAAGTCAAAAGCCTTTAAATACAAAAATGCTGGATCTGAAAGTTGAAGGAGGATTCACTGAGGATTTGGTGTTATGGGCTGACAGATTTCTAACTGGTTGTTTTGCTGTGCAAAGGAGCATTCTAGATACGTGCTTGAAATACTGATTTTTTCCAAATATTTTTATTGGGTGGGGCATGTGCACACCATGTCTGAATGGTCTGGGCTCTGTGGTGAGGCTTTGTGACCTTTTGGCCTCTTGTAAGTTACGGTATCAGAGTCAGCAGTTCAGTTATTTGAGAATGAAGATTGAGGTTCGGGACATCTGGGTCCCGCTCCCAACCTTGTCCCCCTAGAATTCCTGTAGGTAAGAATCTTCACTTGTTCCTCTTTCCCTCCCAGTAAAGCCCGCACTCCTCACCAGGACCCCTAGCCTGGTGCGACCGGACCCCTGGTCTCCTACTCGTTCCTCCCACCACGTTCCAGTCACACTGGCCTTCCTGGTCCTAGGACGCACCAGGTTCTTCTTTTTGCCCGTGCTGCTCCCTCTGACGGGATGCTCTTCTGCCTCGTGTTTGTCACACCAGCATATCCTCACCTGTCCATCCTCATTTAAAACTTCCTTCCTGAAATACATGAAGCAGATGCCCTCCCCCGGCCCTTACTCTCATGACATTCTTTGTAGTTGATCACGTGGGAATGAACACTACACTTCGAAACAGACGATTTTGATACTACTGAAGTCCTTGCCTCTGTGTCATCGGGGAATTCCCCCAAGGAATTCTTCCCTGATGACCAAAACTAGGTCTCCCTCTTTAAAGGACTTCTTGAAGGACTCCTGCGTTTTCCTCTCTTAGCATTTAGCGTAACTGTAATCAAATGGTCTTGTTTTGTAATCATGTTAGGAACTTCTTATTCTTGAGAAGCAGGAGTTTTGTTTGCTGCTGGAGGCACTCAGTGAAATACTTAGTAAACATAAAACAATAACCTCACCAATGTGGATTTGCACTCTTGAATTCCTGATACTATAGTCCGTGTCTGACCTGGCATGGGGTCTGATCCCAGCTTTGGCATCCAAGGCTGTCGTGACTCCGTTTCCCACCTCCTGAAACAGTGGGTGTGATGAAAGTATCTTGGGAAGTAGGGCCCCCCTGGTGGGTGGGCTGGCTGACTGCCGTCTTATTAACCAAGGCTCTCTGTTTGCTGCCTTCTGTCTGTGCCTCCTAGGGCTCAGTGGCCTACGTCCCCCAGCAGGCCTGGATTCAGAATGATTCTCTCCGAGAAAACATCCTTTTCGGCCGCCAGCTACAGGAACGGTATTATAAGGCCGTCATTGAAGCCTGTGCCCTCCTCCCAGATCTGGAAATCCTGCCCAGCGGGGACCGGACAGAGATTGGTGAGAAGGTCGGTACGGCTGCAGCATGGCCCCTGTAGCAGCCACAGAATTTTAGGGGCTGATGTTAAATCCTTACTCTTCCATTTGTGGGCGTGCGAGTTGACTGAGGGTGGCTGATCCAGGCTGGGCTCAGCTGGGCAGCTCTGCTCCACAGTACAGGCCCGCTGAGCTCGGTTCCAGACCATGGGCTTGGCTGGGGTCTGCTCCACACGTCTTCCTGCAAGGGGAAGCTCTTCTCATGGTGACTGCAGAAGCCCAAAAGAACAACAACAACAAAACCCAAACTGCACCCCCCCCCAACAATGTCCTGTAAAACATGGTTGTTTTCACCTGATTGAACTGGAAGATAAGGGACGGTGAAGTGCACACTACCTTAGCAGCCACGTGACCGCAGAGTCACATGACAGAGGGCACTTTACAAGGGGGGGGGTATCAGTGATTCAGAGGGCCACAGTCCCCTACAAAACAAGGGTAGTAGAAAAATAATGATATAGTAGCTAATGTTCAGCATTTACTGTGTGCTAGGTCCTGTGGTAAACATTTCATATGCATTCCCTCTCTACAGCAAGCCCATGAGATGGGATTTACTGTTGCTTCCATTTCATGGTTAAGGAGGAAGAGGCATAGAAGGGCTAAGTGACCTGTCTGAGGCCCTTCCCACCTCAGGGCCTTTGCACAGGCTTTTCCTCACCCAGCGAGCCTGTTCCAGCACTATGCTGGTTATCTTGTATGCTTGGGGAGTATGGATGTTCCACAGCAGCACCAAGGAGCTTTCCTGACTCCTTAGTTACAAGAGGGTGGCTCCACCAGCTTCCTTAGTTGCCAAATGATTTCTTTTATTTGAGGGAAATCTACAGCTCCTTGGAAAGAAAAAACAACTGTTAGCAGGACTCTTTGGGTTTACAGTTAGCAGAGGAGCCTGGGCTAGTTGTTGTTTTAACCCAAGTGTCGTCTTCTGTCCCTTGGAGACTTCTGATTCTCCCTGCCTGGGTCCCAGTACCAAAATATAGAGGGAGAGAATATGATTGGGTCTGGTGTCTGCCCCTGGGCCAAAGAGCTGTGGCCAGAGAGGCAATCCAGGAGAACCCTGGCTGCCAGGACCCCAGCTCGGTGCCTAGGAAGGGTGGGCATCTCTCAGGAGAGACTGGGCAGTTAACCAGTGGGAGGGGGGGTCCCTTTGATTCCCCAGCCACATATGGAAGTAACATTTGGTAGGCTGTTGCCGGAGAGAGGTCTGGGACTGCTGCTGTGTGCTCCTTGGAGTGCTCCCATGTGAACTTGAAAGCAGTGCCCTTCCTCCTGGAGAGTGGGGCTGGGTTTTGGCACTCTCAGAGTACAGCCTGCCTCGGTTCTGTGTGGTTTCCAGTGAGTGATAGATCAGAGCAAGCTCACAGAAGTGTCCACTATTAACTCTAGTAGCGGCAGCGACAATAGGGTCAGTACCGCATCTCCTGGTGCCTTCCTTGTAGACCCCCATCGTTTGTGGCCACCAGCCAGCCTTTGCTGAATTGCCACTCTGTGCTGGGTGTCCGCTCAACAGCTTGTAGAGGCTAGACCCCATGGCAGTCCTTGAACCCAGGTCATGTAGATACCATCTCATGCTGTGGCCTTGGGCTCCAGCGAGAGGAGGCCAAAAGGAGGCGGTGTTGTGCTGCAGGGCCACCGGCCCGGGTCTGCTGCGTCCTGAGTGGGGCTCCCCATCTGCAGGTTGCAAGGCTCCCCGGGAACCCCACCCTTCTGCTGTGTCTCTCCCCAGGGTGTGAACCTGTCTGGGGGCCAGAAGCAGCGAGTGAGCCTGGCCCGGGCCGTGTACTGTGACTCCGACATCTACCTCTTTGACGACCCCCTGTCAGCAGTGGATGCTCATGTGGGAAAACACATATTTGAAAACGTGATTGGTCCTAAGGGGATGCTGAGGAACAAGGTATCTGCTGATGGGGCAGGGCTCGGATATCTGGCCGTCTCACATCTTCACTTAAGTCAGAATGTTTCCCCTTGGGGAATCCTTCACTTCCCACTTTCCAGGATTTTCTTTTTTAAATTGGACTTAAGAACACATTTCTAATGCTTCCCTTGGATACCTTCCCAGGACAGCCTGCTTGCTTTGTCTTTGTAACGGGATGTCCTTGACACTGACTTGCGGTCCTTGTCTCCATGTGGCCAGCGGAGGCCCCTCTTCCTAATTTAATTACAGGGCTGGCCTACAGAGTGAAATCCCTTCCCCTCTGACTGAGCAGGCAGCTCCCCCTTCCCTGCTGAGGTGGCCGTGGGCTGAGGCACAGAAGTTGGGGGCACAAAAACTGCTTTAGCACTGTAACGTGACAGGAAATGGATCTTCTCTTAATGATGATGATTGTTTTTAGGGGAATTACAGTGTGGTTGGGAGGGAGCACTGGTTCTTTTTTTTTTTTTTTCCCCTTCCCCCTTCTGGAGAAAGAAATAACACACATGCCCTTGGGGAAAACAGATGAGATTCAGAAAAATACGAGAAAAACACATAAGGAACTGTGCACAATTGGGATTGTGCTTATAGAGATTTTCTTTCTTTCAAGTCTTAGAAAGTTTTTTTTTTTTAACTTTTTTTTGTTAAGATTTTATATATTTATTTGACACAGCAAGAGAGGGAGCACAAGCAGGGGAAACGGGACAGGGAGAAGCAGATCTCCTGTTGAGCAGGGAGCCGGATGCGGGGCTCAATCCCAGAACCCTGGGATCTTGACCTGAGCTGAAAGCAGACGCTTAATGACTGAGCCACTCAGGCACCCCCAAGTCTTAGAAGGTTTCATATCATGCATATATATATAGTAAGCAACATGCTGCTTAACCTATTGTAAGCATTCCCGTATACACCCCCAAATTCTGTATAAATGTAATTTTTAAAGAAATTTTTGGGGCGCCTGGGTGGCTCAGTGGGTTAAAGCCTCTGCCTTCAGCTCAGGTCATGATCCCAGGGTCCTGGGATCAAGCCCCTCATCAGGCTCTCTGCTCAGCAGGGATTCTGCTTCCCGCACCCCCCCCAACTCTCTCTGCCTGCCCCTCTGCCTACTTGTGATCTCTCTGTCAAATAAAATAAATAAAATCTTTAAAAAGAATTTTTTTGTTATCAGAATGATACATGCCCATGGTAACAAAATCAAAGGGTATGAGAATATATGTAAAGTGGGGGGGGGGGTCCCTCCCTTCTCCTGAACTCTAGTTCTTGCCTCGAGAGCAGAGCTCAGTAGTTTGGTTTGCTTCCTGATTTTGGACCACCCTTGAGCTAAGAAAGGTCTTCACATTTTTCAGTGGTTGGGACAAAATCCGAAGAAAAATAGTCTTTTGAAACCTCTGAAAATGAAAATGGCATTGAACCGAAATGCTGGTGTCCGTACGGAAAGCTTCACTGGGGTACAGCCAGGCCATCTCTCCCGGCTTGTGTGCGGCCGTTTTCCCGCTGCGGCAGCATAGCCCGGTTGTTCCACCACGACTGGAGGCTCCAGAAAGCCGATCGTATTTACGATTTGGCCCTTTAAGGAAAAGTTGGTCAACTCAAGCAGTTTGCTGAGTGTCCTTCCCAACCTTGACTTAATTGGATAAAATACACATGCGTGTATGAATTTTGTAGCGTCTTTTTTGGGGGATGCTTACTTTAAACAAGCCATTGCATGTGAATTGTTTTGTATCGGCTTCGTTCTTTTATCCGTCCACTGTGCCTTCCCCTCATCCTTCAAATTGTCGTCCACAGATCAGCTTCTCCATCACCCTTGTTAAAATTTAACCCCTGCCTTCAGCCCTTCCCCTTTGCTTCGTGCAACACCCAGCACCCACTTTGTCTTACATCTCTCCATCCTTTCTCCCCCTGACCGTGGAGTATGAGGCCGGGGGCCCGTTTCCCTCCCCACTGCCCCCCACCTCCTGGCAGGCATGGGATGAACGAAGGCGCCCACAGATCGGGGCGCCCCAGGCGCTCAGACTCAAGCTGGGCCGGCGAGGTGTTGGGGGATGCCCGTTGTGCCCGGGCGCTGACCCCCGCCGGTCCCTGCTCTGCCCGCAGACACGGCTCCTGGTCACGCACAGCATCAGCTACCTGCCCCAGGTGGATGTCATCATCGTCATGACCGGCGGCAAGATCTCGGAGATGGGCTCCTACCAGGAGCTACTGGCCCGGGACGGCGCCTTCGCCGAGTTCCTGCGCACGTACGCCAGCAGCGAGCAGGAGCAGACTGAGCAGGATGAAGGTAGGACGCCGGGGTGCCTCACTGGGCCCCCTACTGCCTCCCGAAGGTTCCCCCAGTCCCCCTCCAGCTCGCCTCACCAGCCCCTTCAGGAGCTCTGAGGAAGGATCATCTTTCGGCTCTCGGGGCTGACTTGAGAGAGGGGGTCCCAGTGCCCTACGGCTGCGGTGGCGGACCTGGGCCCGGGTCCTCATCCTTCGCTGCAAGGTGGCTTTGGGGCAGCCGAGCTTCAGGGTTCTCGTGGCAGGAATGGGGACAGTGATAATTACAGTCCTCCTGGCTCCCAAGAGGCTGTGGGAAGCAGTGACATGTGTGGCATTCAGAACAGATGCTGGGGCCGGGGGACACGTGGTGCCTGAACGAGTGTGTGGGCTGGCAGTTGGCGAGACTGGATTCGAGTCCCACTGCTCCTTTTACCAGAGTCCTCCAGACCCTTCTGAGCCTCAGTTTCCTCACTGATAAAGCAGCATAATAACAGGACAACCTCCTGGCATTCGGTGGAGAATTAATGTGCTCGATGTGTTCCATCAAGCCTTGGGCACGGTGCCCGGCACAGAATGTCCTACGCACGGCAACTGCTGTCATAACTCTCCTGGGAGGAGTGCCCATCATTCACCCCCACGCACGTGGCACCGGCCAGGTCACCGCAGACCTGCCCACCCCCAGCCGCACCCTGTGTGCTCTCCAGAGCCAGCGCTCGGCAAGCCGGGGCCTCGCACTGTCCTCATGTGGAGGCTTCTGTGGTGAGACTTCTAAGAATCTTTTCTTTCTTCTCAGTTGGATTAAACTTCAGGGGCTTGGTTTGCAACCTTCAGGCTGCCCTGTGTGTTCCTCAGTCAGACGGGAGGCTCAGAGGCTCCTCCTTTCTTCTTGGAGCTCTTACCCCACAGAGGTCATCTGACACCTTTTCTACTTTGTCTTCAGTTGTCGCTGAGAGAAGTCATGGGTCCTGCCCTGACATCCCGCTTCCGGGAGCTCATGACAGACTCCCTGAGCCTCCGAGGCATGTTCCTTTCATACTCCATCCCCAAGCAGGTCTGTGACTGTCCCCAGGGGCAGGGCTGCAGGTGTTCTGGGAGTATCTGTGATGGGATGCTTGCTGAGGGCTAGCCGGGTCTCCTGTTCTCTGCGAGAGTTACCTCCTTGATGCCTTCCAGCAACTCAGGAAGGAGTAGAATTGTTATTCCCAGCTCCCTGGTGAGGAAGCTGAGGCTTAGGGAAGCTGGTCCCTTCTCTGCCAAGGCAGCCAGGTTCCCATCTCTCTGAATGGGCCTGGTTGCTGAGAAAGAGCCATTTACGGTTCATCAATATAGTCATTGAGCCAAATTTCAAATTTACTGAGCACCTACTGTGTGTCAAATGCTTGTGTTCTTTGCCTAGGGCTGCTGTGACAACGTAGCACAGACGGTGTGTCTCACACAACAGAAATGTAATCTCCCACAGTCCTGGAGGCTGGAAGCCCAAGACCTGGGTGTTGGCAGGGTTGGTTCTTTCTGAGGCTCGGAGGGAGGGTCCGTTCCACGCCCCTCCCCTGGCTTCTATGGGCCTGTGGGCAGTCTCTGGCCTTTGCTGGCCTGCGGAGGCATCACCCCCAGTATCTGCTTCGTCTGCACACAGTGTTCCCTGTGCGGGAGTTTGTCTCTGAATTTCACTTCTCCTCATGACACCGGTTTTGGGGGATTAGCCCCCCCCCCCCCCCCCCCCGCCAACCTCCTTTCAACTGATTATACCTGCAGATAACCTGTTTCCAAATACAATCACATTCTGAGGTCCTGGGCACTTCAGGCTTCCACATAGGAATTTGGGACAGGGGTGCAGTCCAGCCCGTGATAGTTTCAGGGAGACAGAAGTGAACGACATCTAGACAGATCTCTGTCCTCACGGAGCTTAGAATCTGGTGGGAGAGAAGGACAAGAATGAACCAAGGAAGTACTTTCATAGAGCGTGAAGTGCTGTAAAGAAAAAACTGCAGATGATGAGCTGGGGGCTGAGGGGTTGGCACAAGGCAGCCCAGGGGGCTGGTCAGAGAAGCCCTTTTTGAGGAGAGGACAGTGGCCTGGAAAGGAGCCAGCAAGGAGAACATCTGGGGAACCGTGTTCTGACATCGGAACAGCAGGTGTACAGGCAGGCCTCAGGCCTGGTGTGAGGTCAGTTTGTTGAAGGAAAGAAAAAGAGGCCAGTGTGGCCAGACCACGGTGGGCAGGCGAGTTGAGGGGGGAGGTGGGCCTTCAGGGTGAGGTGTTTGGGTTTTGGTCTCCAGGCAGTGAGAAGCTGCTGAACATCAGAGACAGGGAGCAGCTTGTCCAAGGATGCATGGTGGCTGCTGGTGGGGTCGGGACCTCAGGTCTGGCGTCTAAGCTTCAGTCTTCTGCTCCTTCCTCCAGTGGTCTCCATGTCTGCCCCCGGTGGGGGTGGGGGCCTCATTCATGCCTCTGCTCTGGTTTGCTGCAGGGGTCCTAGTGGTCTGTACTAAGTGCTTCATTGAGATGGAGGTCACAGAACACACAATCCACACACTTAAAGTGTTGTGTGATTTTTGGTGTGTTCAGTGTTGTACAACATCACCAGAATCACCTTCAGAACATTCTCGTCACTCCTCCGGGGAACCTCATAGCCGTTAGCCATCCCTGCACATTTTCTCCTGGTGCCCCACGTCCTGGGCACCCATGCATCTCTCCCTAGATTTGTCTGTTCTGGACATTTCACATAAATGGACTTCTAGACTGTGTGGTGCTCTGTGCCTGGCTTCCTTCCCTCCGGGTGAGGTTCTCGTGGCTCACCTGTGAGGTAGCGTGTCTGTGTCTCATGTTGTTCTGTTGCTAGGGCCTACCGCGCCATGTTTTGTTCTTTCTTTCATTAGTTGATGACTGTTCGAGTCGTTTCCAGTTGTGGCTGGTACAAATTGTGCTGCCATGAACGCTAGTGGTCTTAAAAGCAAAGCATCTCTTTTTGCCAGCGAGAGGCCAGAAGTTTCTTCGGCTTTTCATTCCTGATCGGAATGAGTTCCTGCATTTCTGTGCTTTTGTGCCTGGGGAGTTCTGCCTTAAGTCTTAACCTCCTTCCTTCCTGCTGCAGAGTTGGCGCCTTCTGATGGTCAAGCTGAGGTCGTGCTGGGGAGGGCAACCTCAGGAGCACTGTATCTTACAGACTTGCTTTGGTTGGGTGAAAATGACCCTGGGTGCTTTCTCAAGCGACATGTCTGCGTTCAGCTGATTCTTCCTCCCAGAATGTGTGGTCTGTCTCCCTTCTAGCCTGGTGCCCAGGGAGTGTCCTTAAACCCTGTTGACCACAGATGATTTCTCTCCCTTCCCTTCCTCTGTCGTTGCCAACAGACCCGAAGCAATTGGTACAGAACCACAGATTGCTGCCAGTGCCTTTCCCTCCCCCCCTGTTTTTCCTTTGGCCACATCAGCACTTAATTTGGCAACGAAAATGCCATCCACCACCCTCGCACTGCCATGGGGTCGTTTTCCCAATCCAGCCACACACAGCCTCGCACACGAGCCCTCAGCCTGTGGGTCTGAACCCAGACAGGGCAGCCCCTTCTCACTCCAGCTCTCTCGTGAGGCCCCCCGTGACACGGCTTGGCATCGGGGTCCACTCTTGTTCCGCTGCAGCTGACCGACTCCCAAGAGCCAATGACCTTGGATTTGTTTGAACCACATTTTTGGCTTCTCCTAAAGGGGAACTTTTTTTTTTTTCCCTTGTTGGATTAATCAGGTCTTTTTTAGAACACCCAGGCTGAAGGGGGAGAGTGTTTGGTTTGGGGGGACTGTTCCCCCACCCGGGTAGGGAAGAGCAGATGTACCAGGAAATAAGCCTGGAATGGGGAGATACTGACCCCCCACTCCCCAGGCGTACTTATTACACTGATGGGACGGAAACTTTTTTTTTTTTTTTGTCTTTTTGTCTCTCTGGTTTTTTTTTCCCCCAGGTGGCAAAGCATGTTACATATTGACTCATTATCCTTTGTATTCGGAAGGTGAGGAACATTTATTTCTGTTTACTCTGGTTTCTTTATTAGGAACGTAAAGTCTGGAGCAGTGGTTTTGATCGGGGTACATTTTTGCCTCCTGGGACACGTGGCAATGTCTGGAGACATTTTTGGTTGTGACCCCTGGGGGGGGGGTGGACTGCTGGCACGTAGAGGGTAGAGACCAGAGATACTGCTAAGCAGCCTACCATGCACAGCACCCACTCCCCGCCCCCACCAGAAAACAGAGCGTCTGTAGTGCCGAGGCTGAGAACGCTGCCATGCCCCGGCCTCGCGGTGTCCCGGTGCTTCCCTGTGGTCTGGGGAGAAGGACTGTTACTCTGACAGTGTGCCCACTTCTCAGACCCATGCTCGATTCGTCTCTCAAGCTCGTGACTGATTTTCTCTGTCTTTCAGATCTTTGCTGAAAGATTTTTTTTTTCTTTTTTTACTGATCATAAAATCAGCCCGTGCTTGCTTTAGACAGTTAGAAACTGCAGAACAATGCAGAGAACCAGGAAAAAGGCTGTCCGTCCCCTGGCCCACCCGCTGGAGGGGCTGTCGGTGTCCGTCCCGCCTCGGCCTCCCTCCCGAGAGGACTAGCATCCCGCTGCGCTCTCAGCCCTCAGTCCTACTTGCCTTTCTAACCAGTGGGTCGTCAGCACCTCCCCCCATTACCAGGATCTGTCATAAACACCGAACAGCTGTTGAGAGCCCTTCGTCCACACAGCACATTCCTTTAGGCTGTCCTCAGTGGCCGTATTTCTTCCACTTGAGCATGGAGAACTTTCTGGGCCGCCGCGGGTGGATCGGGCTGGGTGATGCAGCCAGTCAATTCCGTTTTTGGTCAAAAACGAAGCGTTGACTGTAAAGCGGTGACTTGGATTCTTCCCTCGAGGGAGGCTGGCCTTCTGGCCCATGCCCAAGCAGAGTTCCAGAACCTTCTTGAGAATAAACAGCGAACTCTGAGGTGCTGGCTTTGAGGGCCAGTGACTGGCTAGACACGGAGACCCGGGAGTGGTACTTACTAGGTTCAAGAGCAGGGACAGTGCCAGGCTTCTCAGCATGACAGCCTCACACCTGGAAGCACTCAAGAAACATTTATTAGAGGGGCGCCTGCGTGGCTCACTTGGTTAAGCAGCTGCCTTCGGCTCAGGTCATGATCCCAGCATCCTGGGATCGAGTCCCACATCGGGCTCCTTGTTCTGTGGGGAGCCTGCTTCTCCCTCTGCCTCTGCCTGCCACTCTGTCTGCCTGTGCTCGCTCTCTCTCTCTTTCTGACAAATAAATAAATCTTAAAAAAAAAAAAGAAACATTTATTAGATGACAAGTTTTGGGCCTTTACTTTTAAAAAAAAAAACAACAAAAAAAAACTTAACTGTTGTCTACCATCCCTCAGCCCCTGCCCCCTTCAGTTCCCCCTTCCTCTGCTTTAGTTTTCTTTGTAGCTCTGAACATTGCCCAACAGCTCATTGTGGATCTGTTCTTTTGTGTGTTTTCTCTTTCTCTCCCTTGAAGTTTAAGCTCCATGAGGGCTTTTTGGTTACCTCTGTATCCCCACGACCAGAGAAGAGTGCCTGGCACATAGTAGATGCTCAGTATAATGTGTGATAATAAACAAATGAGTAAATTATGCCTTGATTATTTAAGACATGTCCTATGTAAACTTCGGACATTAACACAACTGTGTAAATACTCAGGTTGGAAGAAAATATGCACTGATATTACCATTTCTCCAGGGCTGGTTTAGAAACCGGCTTTGTGGGTGTGGGCTTATGATGGCATCATGGTGGCCCATGGGGTGCCCGTTGTAGCACTGGAAGGTCAGCTCTGCTTGTTCACTTGGCCATTCATTTGTTAGTCTGTCCATGTGCGTATCAGGTTTATACAGAGTGCCTGCTGTGTGCCATGGGGAACCTGATACTTGAGCCACTGAGTGAAAGGGTTCCCCTTGGATTGTACAGTGAACATCCTGTGCAACCACACATGGCCATCTGATGTGTCTGGGGCTGAGAATAAAGTAGTGGGTAAGACCTACTCTGTTTTCAAGAGCTCACAGACTTGAGGGTGTCTCCCCTCTATTGGGGGAGACATATGCCAAATAACCAAGGGTGCGGTGGTGCTAAACGCAGTGATGGAAGCAAGCCTGGGGGGCTGTGAGAACCCTTAGAAGGCATCCTCATCCCAGCCTGGAAGGGCCCAAGATGACATCTGTGCCAAGCCACCTTCTCTTCCCCTTTTCTTGGCTCCATGTGCGTCTGGCTCAGAAGGCAGCATGCAACCCAGGCCCCTCTCATAAGCAGCATCTGTCATCAAAGATCTGAAGGCTGTGAGCCAGAGCCAAGGCCTGTGCTGTCTTGTCTCCCAGCCGCCACATTTGCCCTGCCCGGCTGTAGCACTTGACTTTTTTCCTTCTGCTGCCTTGAAACCAGGTGTAGAGTCTGAGGGTTGGCCTGCATTTTTCTAGATCATATTATGTCTAAACACATTTATCATCGTTAGCGAAAGAGATGGCCCCGTGTAGTGTGCTTTTTGGGATCATCCCAGCACGTGTGGGATGGGGATACTGAGGGTGGCAGGTGCCTTGGCCATCTCTGCTCCTCAGCCTTAGGAGAAGACCTCCATCCATCCCATCTGGGCATGTAAATGGCGGTTCCAGGAGGGAGTGTTGGCTTGGTTCTTAATACTTTCCTGGATCTCGTGAATTCTCAGGTGGCAAAGTGGTGGCTGAGGCGGGGGAAGGTCAGTGACCTGGGGGTTACAAGTAACTGTGCTTGCAGGAGGAGGATGTGGGCAGACTGGGCCTGTTGCTGCGTGCTCAGAAAGAGGCCCTTGACCATCTGTATTTCTGTCCCCTTCCATTCATCCAGCACTTCTGGGTACCTACTATGTGCCAGGCTTTGCAGTGGGCACTTGGGGAGATAGTCTGAACCCCCAGATCTCTTGTTCCTCAGCTGGGTGGCCTGGGCTAAGCGTTACTGTTCTGTAGGTCAGAGGGCCGTGATGAGCATGCCTTGGCGGAGATTCTTTTCGCAGAATGCTTGGCACATAGTGGGTGGACAGTGAATGGCCCGCCATGTGACCATCACAATCCCCCTGTCATCTCCTGGGCATGGTCAGGACCCCGGCAGGCGAAAGTAGGACAGGGCGATGCATGCGTGATGGAATCACTGCGGGTGGCTGTGGGCACACAGGGGGGATGGGGGTGGGGGATGTCTTCTAGCAGAGTTTCACTGTGGAAGGCTGCTCCGGCTCCCTCTGGTGAGGTGAAGGCATGAACCAGCCGCTGGAGCGGACCCATCCCTCCTACCTGCCGCAGCAGCGTGCGGCTGAGGGTCAGAGGGCTCTTTTGTAAGCCACGGAAGCCGGGTACTGCTTCTTCAACAAGGGTATTTACTGGAAGGGGAAGCAGATCACTCAGAAATCAGAGGCCAGACCGAACAAGGAGGACTCAGGAAATGGGAACTCCGGGAATCAGACACCTTTAGAACAGATCAGCTGGAACTGTCTTCGGTCCTCAGGGCCACTGATGGTTCATAGTCCTGGGGAAGGGGCTCTGATGGGCTGACCTTGGGTCTGCCAAGACTGTAGGAAGAGGGAAGAGCTGATTCCTTGCAAAGAAGGCAGACGGAGAGGTGGACCGACCCATGTTCCCATTGCCTTCTAGGATTCTTGGTCCCTCCCCTTGCAAAGAATTTTCCAGCTGTCCCTGCCGGTGTATCAATCTGTGGGCTAATTGGGTGGAGAAAGGGGGTTATGGGAGGCCACTGTGAGGTCTCCCACAGACCTTATGGCTCATCCTGAGTGAGGAACAGAAGGAAAGCCTGCAGCTTACAGAGACTGGCCTGCATAGCCAGGTGGGAGCAAGGAGCTCTCTGGAGCCCCTGCCATGGGGTTAGGTCTCTGGGAATGTTTTCAAGCATCCCTGCCCCGGCACAGAGGGAGTTGGTCAAGGCCAGGCCTGGGCCTCCAGTGCAGTGAGCCCGGACCACATGCTTCTGCATGGAAAGTCCTGCTTGTTGTTATTCTTCTTTTTGGTTAAGTTTAGTTCTCTTTTTTTCTAAATTTAAGCAGAAAAGATGCTGCCGTTAAAAAGAAACACGTAAAGTAGGGACGCCTGGGTGGCTCAGTTGGTTGGACGACTGCCTTCGGCTCAGGTCATGATCCCGGGGTCCCGGGATCGAGTCCCACATCAGGCTCCCAGCTTCATGGGGAGTCTGCTTCTCCCTCTGACCTTCTCCTCGCTCATGCTCTCTCTCACTGTTCTCTCTCAAATAGATAAAATCTTTAAAAAAAAAAAAAAAAGAAAGAAACACGTAAAGCAAGGAATCTCTATTTTGGCTACAGGCCAGAATTATCCGTAGAACATGTTTAATAAGGCGAGTAGTGCCAAGCCCTGCCGTGGCCTGTCACTTCCCAAGCGCCACATGTGGCCTCACTCGTCCTCCCACTTACAAAGGGAGCAGCTGTGGTCACTTGCCCTTTGCACATGTGAAAGTTGAGTCTCAGAGATGTTTATTGCCTCCCTTCCACACACAGCTAGGAAGGGAGAGAGCACTCCATCCCTGACTGCGCTCTGACTCAGCGCGGGGGCCCGGCCTCCCTGAAGGCAGAGTCTGGCAGGGACCAGAGCCGGGCCAGGGGCATCCCTGGGTGCACAGGTGCCTGCATCGTTCACAACCAAGATGGCGAATCACCGGTTCAGAGTTGCCCCGCCCCCAGCCGCCCCCCCATGAAGCCCCGCCCTGCTGTCCGTCTTCTATTTCTTCCCGTGACTGTCATCCGAAAGAGCCTGTCTTTATGCATTTGATATCAGTTCGTGTTCTGTCAGCGTGTTCCCAGAGTCGCCCTGTCACTGCCAGAGCTGCATATTAGTCCCCTTCTGGGACTTCTCCCCTACATACCCTCCCCTCCTCTTCCGGGCCAGCCCTGGGGAGCCCTACGCCACATCTCTGCTGTAGGCTTTCTCTCTCCTGGGACCAGTGTGAGATCAGAGCCAGGCTGGGGTAATGATAACGTACCCCTGAGTGGTTGGAATAATGAAGGGAGATGATGTGTTTCAGCAGAGCACGGGGCCACCACTCATTCCGTGTTAGCCACTGTCAGTGAGGTTATGGGGATGAGCGTTGATGCTGGGGGCGTGATTCCTGGGACTGGGGCCGCTGGCTGGCCGGTGTGCCTCAGGGTGGCTGTACCATTGTTGAGGGAAATGGCAGTGCTCCAGGTAACCTCTACCCCAGACTTCTGGACCTCCCTGTGGTCTGGGTTAACTCTTGGCACTGGGCCGCAGGGTGGGGTACCCTCTGGGATCCCCCCTGTTGGCTGACGCCCTTGTCAAAACTGGGGGGTGCTTGACTATCACCCTTGCTTGGGTTGCTTGGGGACCAGACAACTGTGCGCTCTTCCCCACCTGGCTCCTTGCATCCTGGCCCCTTGGACTAAGTTCTGTGCAGCTCTGATGCTGTCAGCCGAGCTGTGTTATACCTGTCGCCTGCCGCTGGGATAGCCACGTACTCAGGCCCAGCACCCGACCCTCCTGGGACCCTCGGGATGCTTGTAAGTCACTGTCTCTGCCCCACGGAAGCCAGCTGGCTCTGCAGGCCTCCCGCCCCTGTGCCGGGATCCTGTCTGTGGCCTCAGCCAAGCATGTCTTGCTTTCTGAGCTTCCTGGTGGCCAGGTTATCTGCCACGTCCCATCCAAGTGACGGGTTCTCCTAAATGCCTGTGGTCTTGGCGTCCAGCTCTGGAAACCACAACTTTCCCCTTTCCTCTCTCCTGCCAGGGTTGACGAGTGTCAGCAGTCCAGGGAAGGAGGGGAAGCAGATGGAGAATGGCATGCTGGTGACGGATGTCGCAGGAAAACAGCTGCAGAGGTATGAGCAGAGAGGGATACCTGTTGGTGTGGACTCTGCAGGCCCCTGCTTCTGCCCCCTGCCTGCGGGGAGAGAAGAGGAACAAGGGGACCAGCAGCTTGTGTGACCTACTGAAGAATGCCTGAGTTCCCCGGGGTCCTGGAAGACGGAGGTTTTCTGCCTCCTTCCCCAAATTGCTATGGGGCCTCATGTTTCAGGAGCCCGAAGGAGGGTAGGGGGCCGCACTGCTCTTCTCGGGGGCCATGGCTCACACAGGCCTCAGGAGGTAACCGTCTGCCTGCACTTGGGACGCTCAAGGTCGCTGCAAGAGGTGGGTCTCTGCTCAAGTCATTGAGAGGGGCCTACAGTGTTCAGGCCTTTAGAGCCAGCATTTGAACCAAAATAGTCACAGTAGTAGTGACCGTGACGCTGTACGCACCCTTCGGAGCCAGGCACGGTGCCAAGCCCTGTGCGGTCTCTTGAACCTGCAAGTGGTGACTCCTGTCTACCCACTTGATAGGTGAGCAAGTGGAGTGCTCTCCCCAAGTCATGCAGCCACACAGAAGCTGAGCTTGGACTTGAACCCAAACCCTGCCTCTGAGCCAGCGCTCCGAAGTTCTGTTGCTTTTGCTGCTATAAAGGAGGTTGCTCTCAGCTAGATAATTAAGGATTTAGTGGGCAGCTTTCTGTGGACTTTGTGGCTTACCCGCTCTGTGCCTCACTTTCCTGACCTGTCAGATAGGGTCTGTGGTGTGCCTACCGCAGAGGGCTGTGGGGGGGGGGCGTCAGACTCCATGCATAGTGCATGTGACACACTTAGCACAGTACTTTCCTCCCTCAGCACCCAGTAGAGAGCACTCACATTAGTGCATGTGCTGGGGCTGCCTGCAGTTACTTCCCTGGTGTCAGGAGTTTTCACAGAAATGAGGCTGGGGGCGAACCCAGACGAAACTGGCGTGAGCAGCTCTGCCCTTTAGAACACTGCCCACGGTACCCTCCTAGAATCTGATTTTTTTTTTTAAGATTTTATTTATTAGAGAGAGTGCTAGTGAGGCAGAGGGAGAGAGTTTGGAGGGGCAGAGGGAGAGCACCTCAAGCAAACCTTGCACTTAGCACGGAGCCCAATGTGGGGCTCGATCTCAGTACCCTGAGATCATGACCTCAGCTGAAACCAAGGATCAGGCGCCCGACTCTGGTTTTTATCTTATGGGATAGGTGGAAGTATTTCCCCCTCTGTTGGTGCACCTGTCAAGGTGGCGAGCTGGGTGTATGTGTGTGAATCACGTAGAATAGGGTCTCGCCCGGGGCGTGCAGGAGCACTGCCGGGATTCAGGCAGGTGGCCAGTGTGATCAGTCATGGTTGCTGTCTTCTGAGAATTTGCTAGGAAAACCGAGAAAAGACAGCACCTCCAAGTGGTCCTGGGACCTAGGGGCAGGTGACGGTGGGAGGCTGGCTGGGGAGAACCGTGGGTGGACTGAGCACAAGCACAGGGAGCACTGGGCATATCTGTTGCTATGTAACAGATGACTTCGAAGTCTGTGGCTTGGGAAGTCTGGGCACAGCTCAGCTGTTTTCTCCACTCTGGGCCTTGCACAAGTCGCAGCAGGTGTCTGCCAGGCTAGGGCCTCATCTGAAGACAGGGCTGGGGAGGGATCCGCTTCGAAGCTTACATGGCTGTTGGCAGGATTCCATTCCTTGGGGCCTATATTATCGTCCTCACTTCCTAACTGGAGCCCCCTGTTCCCAGCATCCTGGGCCTCCAGCCTGCGAGCTTGCTTCATTGACACGTGCAAACCAAGAAGGCGAAAGGGAGCATTAGCAAGCAGGATGGAAGTCACGCCCCGTCCCTTTGCCCTTGTGGGTCTGAGCCGTGGCCGAGAGAGGGTGTTCCTACACGTATGCCCACACGTGTGCACACAGCACACCCCCATCCACCCGTGTCATTCGCCAGGGTTACAAATCCCCAGGCGAATGGACCGGCTCGAGGAGGTCTCCAAAGAGAGCCTGGGGCCACGTGATCTGTGGTAATGTGTCTTGATCTGTATAAAGCTGATGACCCCATGTGCCTTGGTTTCCCCAGACAGCTCAGCAACTCCTCCTCCTACAGCGGGGACATTAGCCACCACCACACCAGCACAGCTGAGCTGCAGAAAGCCGGGGCCAAGAACGAGGACGCGTGGAAGCTGGTGGAGGCAGACAAGGCACAAACAGGACAGGTGAGGGCCGGCTGCCCCGGTGAGGGCTGTGGCCCCTGTCACTGCACACCAGGTCCTTGCAGAACGCTTTGTTGATGTTGCATCTTGTCTCTCCGCGAGCCTGTGCCAGTGCTCTTTTCCCGTGCCGGAAACAGGCGGCAGAGCCTAGATGACTTGCCCAAGGTCACAGTCAAGGGGCAGCAGAGCTAGAATGGGAACCCTGGCGGTCTGACTCCAGGGCTGGCATTTGGAGCCTCTGCCGTACTGACTGCCACCTCCTCCGAGCGGCTGGGGGCTTCTGTTGGTTCTGGGTAACCCGGGTGCTTTATATCATGCCTTCCCACAGTGCGGGAAGTTGTAGATCAGATGAAGTTCTCTGTGAGATAACACCTCTGTCACTTCACCTCGTGTGACTGTGTGTGTGTGTGTGTGTGTGTGTGTGCATACGTGTGCGCACACGTACATGTGTGTGGTGGGATTCGTGTGCTTCCGTTTCTTTTGCAGCCCTAACGATTCCAATGTGAGAAAGTCTGAGTTCGGTGCCCGTTTATCTTTCTTGCGTGTCTCAGTCCATTGGGGCTGCTCTAACAGAAGTCCATGGGCCGGGTGACTCAGGAGCAACCCGATTTTTTTGCCCAAACTTCCTGGAGGCTGGCCAGCACGTGTGGCGCCCGGCGAGGGCTCACTCCGAGGGAGGCTCAGGGACCGCCGTCTGCTGCCTGTGTCCTCAGTGTCGGGAAGGGGTCAGGGAGCTCTCCGGACCCCCTTTGTTAAAGGCACTAATCCCAACGTGAGGGCTCCATCCTCATGATCTGACCGCTTCCCACTGGCCCCTCCTCTGCGAACATCACACAAGAGGTTAGTCCCAACACACAAACTTGGAGGGACATGGTGTTCAAGTCCATAGTGCTAAGAAATCGCCAGCTTCTCTCTGTCACCTGGAGAATTGGTTTCAAGCTCTTTTTTTATTGTATTTGTTTTACAGTCCTCTATTTTGGGCACGTGTCAGTAATTTTCCATTTATGGTAATGATCCCAAGTTTATTTTTAAAAATGCATGTGGTATGTTTAAAAAAAAAAAATAGGGAATAGAACATTTAAAAGAGGAATAAGTACACACAGAAACAAGCCACCCCTGAGAGGTGGCGCAGGAACGGGAGAGGTCAGGATGCTTCTCTTGGATCTGCCTGGATGTATGTGGAATCCTGCACGGCGCTGCCCTGCTCTGTAATTATGCGTTGATCTGGTCGCCGAAAGCCTGTCTTGCCACTTGAGTGGGAGCTCCATAAGGGCAGAGACCTTGACTTTATCTCTTGCTGACTTTGTCGAGTAACTAAGGGGGATGTGCCATGAGTACGAGTGTGGGCGGGGGTTGGAGGGGACAGGATGGCCCAGCTGCTGCTGGAGTGCCAGCACTCGGGGGTGCGGTGGCGGGAGCACCTGCAGAAGCCTTCTCTCCCCTGCTTTGCAGGTCAAGCTGTCTGTGTACTGGGACTACATGAAGGCGATCGGACTTTTCATCTCCTTTCTGAGCATCTTCCTTTTCCTGTGTAACCATGTTGCTGCTCTGGCCTCTAACTATTGGCTCAGCCTCTGGACCGATGACCCCATCGTCAACGGGACCCAGGAGCACACTAAAGTCCGGCTGAGCGTCTACGGAGCCCTGGGCATTTCGCAAGGTGGGGACCCCTCCCCTGGCCAATTTGAACACTTGGAACGGTTTCTTCCATGTCTTATTATGGAGTTTAGTCTCTCCGTTTGTGAGTGTTTTCTGGACCCCTCAAACTAAGCCAAACTCACATGAACAGTACCTGTCCCTTAGTAGACACTCAGATACTTACAGAGTGAATATTTCTTGAATGCTTTGTTTCACGGGCCCTTAGGAGATGGAGAGAAGCTCTCGACATGCCCATTTCACAGATGAGCAAAGTTGAGAACGGCAGCCCCCCGCCCCGCCCTGGAGCATTGGCGAGCAATGCCCCCTTGCCCCTTGTTGCTCTGCGAGGGGCTTCTGTAAACTCTTAATTTGTGGGCTTCTCTGTGCCGTCTGAGGGTGGGAATTGGGGCACTCTGGTGGTTCTCGGTGCAGACTATGCTGTCCTACGGGGACATCTAGCCATGTCTGGCGGTCCTTAGAGCATTCACAGCTTTGATTGGAGGTGGTGTTCCTGGCATACAGAGGCCAGGGATGTCGCCGGGCGGCCCGCAGTGCACAGCACAGCCCCCATAACAAGAGGATGATCTGGCCTCAAATGTCAGCCGTGATGAAGTTGAGAAACCCTGTTTACCCTTCCTGTGGGCCCATTAAGGTCCCCAAACACAGCAGCGTTAATAGTGACAGCCGCTGTGAGCCCTTCCTCAGTGTCTGCTTATGTTCTGGACACTTCCGTGGGTTTTTGCAGACCAGGGCCAAGAGGTAGCAGCTACCGTTTCCCCCATTTTAGAAAAACATCACAGAAAGTTCTGTTGCATGGCACTGGCCTAGAGGAGTGTGGGACACGGAATATGAGCATGACCTTGGAGCAGCTGCCTGGATCGGAGCCGCAGCTCTGCTGCCGGTTGGCTGACTCTGTCGAGGGCAAAGGAGTTCACCTGTCTGACCTTGAGTGTCCTCCATAAAGTGGGTGCTGAGAGGCTTTACATAGAGTCAGTGTGAGAAGTAGATTCACGTAAAACTCCTGCATAGTGTTGAATCTATAGTGAGTCCTCAGTAAGCAGTAGCCACTGCTGTCCTCCTCGTCGTCGTTGTCATTCTTAGAAGCTGAGAGTCCGGGCGGCCACTCCTCCCTGCCCCTGCTCGGCCTGTGTCCCTTACGGTGTTAACCATGAGAGTGTTTGTAGGTATCTCAGTGTTCAGCTACTCCATGGTGGTGTCCATCGGGGGCATCTTCGCTTCCCGCCGCCTGCACCTGGACCTGCTACACAACGTCCTCCGGTCCCCCATGAGCTTCTTCGAGCGCACCCCCAGCGGGAACCTGGTGAACCGCTTCTCCAAGGAGCTGGACACGGTGGACTCGATGATCCCGCAGGTCATCAAGATGTTCATGGGCTCCCTGTTCAACGTCATCGGCGCCTGCATCATCATCCTGCTGGCCACACCCATCGCCTCCATCATCATCCCGCCGCTGGGCCTCATCTACTTCTTCGTCCAGGTGAGAGGTGGGGTCTCGGGGAGCAGGAGGGGCCCTGCTGTGTACGCTACTTCCGTGTGAGCTAAGGGCTCACTTCATCTCACCATTTCCCCACCGTGGAGTTGTTGGGGATTTCCTGGAGGAAGGTTGGATTTGTTTTTGTCCGCTTTAAATACCTATCAGAAGGGGGAGATATATATATATATATATAATTTATAATAAAAAAAAATATATAATTTATAATAAAAATAGCATATAGCAATAATACTACTATTAAAATTGATTATTAAAATTAAGAGTGTTATGAAATTCTTTAGGTTGTAAGCCCCCTGCAGAAAGTGGAGATGTGAACAACAGCGCCTTAAACAGGATAGACATCTTTCTCTCTCCCAGTAGAAATGTAGAAGTGGGCCGTTCAGGGCTGGTACAGCAGTTCCACAAGTCTCTTACTATCCTGGACTGTTAATATCACTGCTTTTTTTTTGTTCTCCCGTCCTCACATAAGCCTTCATTCTTAAGTTGATCTCCTGGCCCACGGCAGCTGCTGAAGCTCCAGCCATCAATCTGTAGTTCAGAAAACAAGACCAAGGAAAGGGAGCATGTGACCGCCGAGTCCTTGTGGCCCCTTAGGTTACTGCAGCATAAACGGTGCTTGCCGCTGTAGGTGAGCTTGTCGAGGGCCTGGTGGCAGAGCTGGGAGTGCGAACTCACGTCTCTCTGTGGTGTTGGTGACCACAATGCTGCACTGCCCCTTTTTGCCCTGAAAAGCTTAGCAGCAGCACAGTTGCCAGGGGTTCGGTTGTTTAGATGGGAGCCTAATGACTGCAGCCCGGAGGAGGAGTGAGAACCGCGAAGCGCTCCGTATTCAGGCTGCACTGTGGCTGCTCGCGCCGGGTCTGGAGGCCTTGGTCCAGCCCTCCACACCCCCACACTCCACCACGCTGCGGCCCAGTGGTTGGGGAGCAGAAACGCAGGCGGAACCACAGCAAGCAAGTCTGGTTCTCGCACCCTCGTTGTGTTATCCCTAAATTGGTGCCAGCTTTTTTTAGACACTTCGTCCTGCTGCATTTGCCAGAAATATGGCCCGTGTTCATACCCTCGCCGTGCATTTCCCTGAGGGACCCAGTTCAGAAGAACCAAACGGGCCACAAGCTGCATTTACAGCAGCTCACGCAGCTGCCGGTAGCAGGACCTTTGAGCCCCTGTGCAGCCGTTCTGTGACGGGATCTGCTGTCCGTTAGCGGGACGATGAGGGAGATGCTGTTGGTATAACGTTGGTATTATTTTTAAACAACCAGGACAGTTCAGCAAAGGGTCCTGCTGTATATGCCCTGTCATTACAACTGAGCAGGCATAGCGCACGCGTGACGGCTGGAAAGGGGAACAGCAAAAGGAAAACATCACGTCTCTAAGGGCTGGGATTACAAAAGAATTTTTTTATTTTCTTATTTTTATTTTTTTTAGAGATTCGTGTATCTCTTTGAGAGAGTGTGTGTGCGAGTGGCGGGGAGGGGCAGATACAGAGGGAGAGAGTCTGAAGCAAACTCCATATCGAGCATGGAGCCTGACGTGGGGCTCAGTCACGTAACCCCGAGATCATGACCTGAACCGAAACCAAGAGTTGGGTACTTAACCACCTGAGCCACCCAGGTGCCCCGAGTATAGTTTTCTTTAATGGCTTTTAACTAAATATATCCTTACCCTACAACCCAGCAGTCTTCTCGTTTTAGTGTATAAGCAAAAGAAATGTGAATGCATCCAGGAAAAAAAAAAAAGGTGCTAGAATATTTTTAGCATCTTGGTTTATGATAGCCCCAAACGAGAAACAGCTTGGGGTTTTTGACCCGGAAGTCACAAGAACTTTCTGGGATGCTAGAGATGTTGTAGATTTTCGTCAGGTAGTGGGTGTGCAGGTGTAAATAAATACAACATTCACCAAGCCGTGGAGATTTGGGTGCATTTTCCAGTGTAATGTAAATGTATGTTGTATCTTGAGGGAAAAGTGGGGTTTAGATGTACATACGTTCTCTTTCATCAGAAAAGACCTAACGGTTTTACACTGAGATTGGAATGAATTTCAGAGTAATGGATATAATACAATTTTTTTTTTTAATTTATTTATTTTAGAGAGAGAGAGAGACTGGGAGGGAGGGACTCCAGGAGAGGGAGAGAGAGTCCCAGCCAGACTCTGCCTTGAGCACAGAGCCCGATGTACGTTCGATCTCATGACGCCAAGATCATGACCTGAGTCGAAACCAAGAGTTGTGTACTTGACCAGCTGCACCACCCAGTAATTACAGGCCCCCCAGTAATTTAATTTTTATTTAATCTGTGTCATCCCCTCCCCACTGTTGAAATGGGTATCCATTACTGTTCTAATTCAGAAGCAAGTCATTTTTGTATAAAGGTGATGCAAGAGGTAGGACAATGTGGAATTCTGTTGGGGCTTCCTTGTTGCCTGAAGGAGACATTTCTGGTTTGTGAGCTGTTTTGGCGTCCGTGAAAACCTCCCGGCCACAGGTCCGATAACTTAGCTCCCAGCATGCTGCATGGCTCAGGCAGGGGTGTGTCGAGCGTTCCTCCTACCCACGAGCACCAGGCCCTTGGTCTTTGAAAGAGTGAGGTGAGTCTGGGGTGTGAATTACGTCTCCTGGAATGGAGTTTAAAAGGGAAGCTAACGGTTGCTCTTTTTTTAAAAAACTGAGTTTAAACACAAATACATCTCAGGTTAGCTTTCTGTCGTAAAAATTCTGAGCACAGGAGAAGTGGGATAAGTTGAACAGGGAAGAGTCTTGGGAATGATTTCCATCCGGGATATTTAGAAAGAAAGCCAGAGGGAGGAGGCGTCACGGCTGACGGTCACGGGGCAGATCCCGCAGGCCCAAGGGGTCCGGAGTTGGTTCATGGCAGTGAGCTGTCACCTGACCTGTCCTCACGGGCTGGCAGAGCCACCATCCTGGGACCGCCCGGGCTGGCGTGGGCCTGGGTTAGCCGACAGAGTTGCCGGGGCCCCGAAGGCCACCCAGGTGTGGGTGCCAGTTACCGTGTGCGCTGCCATCCGGAAGGAAGCTGCTGACCTCAGAGCGCCCACACAGGTTTCCTGCTCTCTGTGGAAGGTCTCCACCCCAGAGCGGCCCCGGGAGGCAGGGAGGCCGTGTCCCTGGCCACCCTGTGTTTCTGGGTCTTGCTCTGCTGTCTGGCTCTGCCGCTTGTGGGGTGGCTGCATTTACGTGAGATCCTGAGCACCTCTGGAACGGGGACGCCGGTCTGTGTGTACCGACAGGCAGACCAAGGCCACGAGAACTCAGTGTCCTCGAAGGACCAGACCACGCTCTGTACATGGCTCCTCGAAGCTTCCAGGGGCGAGTTGCTTCTGTTCCATCTGGCCTGGTTAGGGCAGGAGCAGAGCCAATGGGCGTCTGCCTATGGGGTCAGGTGGAGGCCTGGATGTCCTCCGAACCTGTACCCAAAGCCCGCCGCTGGGGCCATCCAGTCCCCGAGATGAGTGGCATCAGGCACGCTGTCGCGCCTCACAGCCGGGCTCTCTGAGGCCAGACCCCAGCTCGGCCACTGGTAGCCGCGTGACCTGAGGGGAGAGCGAAGCGAGCGTCTTTCTGGTTTACTGAGCGTCATCAGGAATGAGCACCTGCTGGATTTCTGGTCCGAGTCCCATGAGCCGATGTCTGGAACTACCTGGAACTGTGCTAGGATTGCGGCGTCTGGCTGGCTCCGTCGGTGAAGCGTCTGCCTTCGGCTCAGGTCATGATCTCAGAGTCCTGGGATCGAGTCCGTGGCAGACTCCCTGCTCAGCGGGAAGCCTGCTTCTCCCTCTCCCTCTGCCCCAGCATGTGGGCTCTCTCTCTCACAAATAAATAAATAAAATCTTTGGGGAAAACAAGTTAAAAACTGTGCTAGGAGGGTGAGCTCTGCGTGAGCGTTGGCTGCCGTCACTGTCACCTCTGTGCATGCAGCGAGCACCCCCTCCCACATGTCACCTCCCGGAGGTATCGTGCAGGTCCAGGATTTCTCCGGCACAGCTCGGGGGACCCGGCAGCATGAGAGGGGCTTTGCCCACTGCCCGGTCCGTTCTCTTCCCCAGAGGTTCTACGTGGCCTCGTCGCGGCAGCTGAAGCGCCTGGAGTCGGTGAGCCGCTCCCCGGTGTACTCCCACTTCAACGAGACCCTGCTGGGCGTCAGCGTCATCCGCGCCTTCGAGGAGCAGGAGCGCTTCATCCGCCAGAGTGACCTGAAAGTGGACGAGAACCAGAAGGCCTATTACCCCAGCATCGTGGCCAACAGGTGGGCGCGCGCGGCCCCGGGGGGGCAGGTGGAGGCCTGAGAACTCCACCCTCGTTCCTGGAGGAGGAGGGTGTGAAGCCAGGCTCGGGCCCTCACCACCGGGCGGGAGGACAGGACGCAGTGACCCCTGAGAGCAGACGGGAGCGCTTCAGCTCCCAGCGTCGAGTGAGGGCCGCGACCACGTTGTCCTGGAGTCAGGGAACACTGCCGGAACTACCCGTTCGCTGTTGTCCTGATGATGTAAGGTCGCCCACGATGGGCAGACTCAGCCAGTATTTTTGTGTCCTGATTCTCGGCCGAGAGGGAATCACCCCCACCGTACCCCTGTGTGATGAGCATGGGAAGCCATTCCCCAGTCTTAGGTTGGCCCCCCTGAAATTGCTGTGCCCCGAAGATCGTGAGTGGATGGATAACATCAATGGAAAAGATGGGACGGAAGTTTGCTCCTTGTTGACTAACTGCAGAGAAGTGTCTGATCCCTAAAAGAGTATCCTCCTCACTGATGTCCTCATACGTGTTTTGACACGTGGTATAAAAGATTCTGGGAGGGGGTGACAGCACCCTGGGAGCTTCCCATCCTAACCAGCCGTCAGCCCCGTCATACACAGTATCACCCTGTAACGTAAGACTAGGAGACCATGAGTTGTTGGAGACCCCACCTTCCCTGCAGAATCCTTAGAGTGTGGGTCACATCTGGCTCTGTCTTTGGGAGAAGCTACACACCCGGGGAGATCAGTCTTGTGAATCCGAAGGGCTGTATGTGACAAAAAGATCGACACCCCCATCTCTCCCTAAGGTGCTTCACGCCTTGAAATATTAATATTCCTAACATCATGTGATATCTTACAGAAGTTAGCTTTAAACCAGTGATATATCTGTTTATACTTCCAAAGGTGAAATAATCCATTTTAACATGTCTACAAGGGGGATGATGTGGCTCTGGGAACATTAGAGCAACATTGAAAATAGTAGCTTTTCTCCCCCTCCCCCCTTTCCTACCAAGAGAAGGTTATTTTAAAGTAACCTCTACACGCACTGTGGGGCTCGGACCCATGACCCCGAGATCAAGAGTCGCACACTCCACGGATCTTGCTTTGTGAGATCGCCAGCTGGTACCCCCAAGGGACGGTTATTTTAAATCAGTGGTGCCTCTTACAGTTGATGACTTCTTATGAATTTAGGAATTTTCCCAGACGTCATTTTAAAGATGGGTGTATATGGATATATTTTAAAGCTTTCAGTGAGAAAAAGTTGGTTCTCACCAGGACAAGCTTCACTTCCCTGGGAAGTCGGCTTCTAAAGAACTCACTTTCGATCCCTGGGGTTCTCGGACTAATGAGGAAGTAGCGAGGCCGTGTCCCTTTGGCCGTCCTTCCCCTGTGAGCTTTTCTCTGGAACTCTCCGGGAATTACGGCAGTTAGCAAAGTGACCCCCACCCCGCCCGCATGAACCAGAAACCGGAAACTCTGGAAAGCTGACTCCAGGTCTCTGTGTGTCTGTCTGTCCACCTGTGTGTCTGCGGGCAGGTGGCTGGCTGTGCGGCTGGAGTGTGTAGGCAACTGTATCGTCCTGTTCGCTGCCCTGTTCGCCGTGATCTCCAGGCATAGTCTCAGCGCCGGCTTGGTGGGCCTGTCTGTGTCATACTCATTGCAGGTAAGGGGGTGCTCTCAGCCAGATTTTCGGATTTTCTTCTTGGGGGAGTCAGTCGTCGGATTCTTGGGCCTTTGCTTTGAATCCGGGCAGGAGCTGGGGGAGCCGCTGGAGGCCGAGCGGCGTTTGAGAAGCCCAGTGACCCAGTGGTGCTGGGGCGGAAGGGAGACATGTGGCCAGGATTCCCCTGAGTCAAGGAAAGCCCGTGATGGCCTGCCAGGGTGTCCCCAGCTACAGGAAGAATGCTGTTCTGGCTGTGACTCGCCCTCCCATCACGGCTTTCGCTTGGGCACCCAAATTTGGATACGTGGTATTTTCCTTTTCCCATCTAGTTCGAAATATTTTCTGATGACGTTTCTGATGACTTGTATGGCCCAGGGCTTATTTTGAAACGTGTTTCCTTACGAGGCACAGTGTAGCCTATCAGGGTGATGGCGATACATGAGGTTCATGTTTTCTGGACCTATTTTACCTAGGGCATGTTGTAATTCGTAGTTACTTCCAAAGATATTGCGAATCGTGCTCACTCTAGAAGCTCACCCACAGGTCACCACGTACTTGAACTGGCTGGTCCGCATGTCGTCCGAGATGGAGACCAACATCGTGGCGGTGGAGAGGCTGAAGGAGTATTCAGAGACGGAGAAGGAGGTAAAGGCAGCAGCCGGCCTGGCCTCTCCTGACCTCTTCGGTGTGACTTAACCCGGACCATCCGCAGAGCCATAGCCTGCGTGCCTTCGACAGGCGGCCTCTGTTCGACAAGAATCGTCTTCTGTTACTTGTCATGTATTTGTGTGGGGGCTGCTGTTAAGGAAAATGAGACACTTGTTTCCTCTTTGAAGTTTAAGAATCGAGTACCCGAGAGGTGATTCAGAGCATGGAAATTCACTCACCAGAGGCTCAGCACGTGCATATTGTAAAAATGATGACGGTGGGAAGGAATTGACCTAAGTTTGGGGAAGCCTGCCCTTGCTCAACCAAGGTCTGCATTTTATAGATGGAGCAAAGCGTGGCCTAGGAAGGAAAAGTGGCTGACCCGAGGTCACGTGCAGTCAGAACGGCTGGGAGTAGGGCCCCAGTGTCCGGACTTCAGTGCTGCATTGTCCTCAGAAACTGCCTTTTTCTGCCTGCGATGGTAGTGATCATAACGATAGTGACAGTAATGCCTAGAGAGACACCTCTGCCCCCTCCACCACCTGTAATGACAGCGACCCGTATTGTGCCCTCAGAGGGGCCTCAGGCCCTGAAGCACACATCTGACATGGAATAATTCATACAACCTTTCTGTAGCCTCGTAACTCCCGTTCTGTCGTGACCCCATTTTACAGATGAGGAAACTGAGGCACAAGGTTAAGTTACTTGCAGGAGATTAAATGGCTGGTAAATGGCCGACCCAGAATTTGCTTCTGTGCCGTTGGCACACTGCCTCCCAAGAACGTGCCCCTTGGGAATGAGACCACGGCCCTGGGTAAACTGTCTTGAGGGATCTACAGAGGTGAGCGATGCCCTGTCGTTCACACTCACACGGGTGAGCCCAGTCCCCCTTCATCAGAGATCATCATTCAGGATGGTGTGAGCGCCCCCTGAGGAAATAAATATGTATTACACCAGGGTTTTCCCACTCTACTGATTTTATTTTTTTACATTTTTAAGATATAATTCACATGCCATGCAGTGCATCATGTAAAGTATGAAATTTATTTTTTAAAAAGTACCATGTTTTTATTTCTTTTGATTATTTTTATGTTTTTAGGATAAGAACATATTTGAAAAATATAAAAGAAAGCAGAGCTCATCCAGGGTCTTACCACTACTAAAAATATTTATTTATTTGTTTGTTTATGAAGACTGTATTTTCCCAGTTAGAAAGTTCCATCCACTTCCTTCCAGTGCCCTCCATGTTCTTACAGCTTATCCCCTTCCTTTATATACCTAAATTTATAAAAGGGAAATACACTTTTAAAAAAAAATTTAATATAGCAAGTTTATGGGGGAGAAAGGATGAAAGCTCTCTTTCATCCTCTCTGTTCCTCATTTTCCCCAAAGCTACCCCTGATCCTGGCCCCAAGCATATCCAGTTGTAGCTCTCAGGAAGTGTTGAATTTAGCTAAGAAACTCTTCAGAAATAAGGGCTGTGTGACCCTGGGCAAGTTACCTACCCTCTCTGTGTCCATTTCCTCATATGCAAGGACCCCATCATGGGACTGTAGTGAGGATTAAATGAGGTCACGTGACAGTAATCTTGAAAAGCATTAGCCATTGCTTTGTCCTCCAAATATAGGAGGCACCCAGAGTAAAACCTCTACCCTTGTGCCTGTCAGAGAGGACCACTCCTTCATTGATTCAGTCCACAAATATTCATGGAGCCCCTGCTGTGTGCTGTGGCGGGTTGCGGGGGCTGGAGTGTGGCAGTGAACAGTGAACCAACCCGTCCGCATATGGTGGATGTTCCAGGGGGCATGGACAACAGAATAAGCAAATAAAAGCACACCTCAAGTGCTAGGAGGTGCCACGTGGTCTGAGGGAGATCCGAGCAGGGTTGGGGATCGAGGGCACAGAGCCAGGGCGAGCTCTGCATGGCCCGAATCAGCACGTGAAGGAGCAAGGCCAGAGGGGAGTTTGAGGAGGGTGCAGAGGCCCAGAAGCGGGGCACACAGGTGTGTTGGGAGCAGAGTGAGCCGGGGGAGGGAGAGGAGGTCAGAGGGGATGTGTCGCCGGCTCTCTTGTAGCCCTGAGGCTCCTGAGGCAGACCTAAGATTCCTTCTCCAACACCCCATTCCTTACCACCCCCCCAGGCTCCCTGGCGAGTCCCGGAGATGACTCCACCCAGCACCTGGCCTCAGGTGGGCCGAGTGGAATTCCGAGACTATGGCCTGCGCTACCGAGAAAACCTGGACTTGGTTCTCAGGAACATCAATATCACCATCGATGGAGGGGAAAAGGTGGGTTCGCCCCGTCCCCCTGACCGTTCACAGCAGTGCGTCCCTTGCAACCAGGCACATTGTTTCCCCGGTTTCTCACAGTCCCAACTCCATGGGGCTGGAGTGGCCTTTTCTGGCAGGGGCTTTGTGGAAGCAGAAGCTGCTAGAGTGTCCCAGCCGCAGTACATACTGTCAGCAGAGAGCCAGATGAGGCCCGCAGGTAAGTTTTGAAAAAATCTGAATACGTTGCAAATACTGAAGAATCTGGTATGTCTTAGATAAAGATCCATTTCCTGCCTTTTTTTTTTTTTTTTTTTTTTGAGTGAGTGAGTGAGCATGTCCGCTGCTGGTGGGAAGAATGGCAGAGGGAGAGTATTAAGTGGGTTGCAGGGCTCAGTCACATGACCCTGAGACCATGACCTGAGCTGAAAACAAGAATTGGATGCCTAACCAACTGAGCCACCCAGGCACCCCTAATTTCCTGCTTTTCTTGAAAGATCGAACATCTAGCAACATGGGGCTTATACTCCCTGCCTGGTTCTTTCTAGACAAGACGAGAACCTCCCAGCTCACCCAGCCCCTCCCCATCTCACTTATGTGCCTACTTGGCCCCCATGGGCATTTGGGTTTGCCACCTCTAGAATAGAAAGATGCCATCGTCACTACTAGGGACGGCTTAGTGAACATGTGAAGTTGTCAGAATTCTGGAATATATCCCATTCCCAAGTTGTTCCTGGAAGACGTCCTTGCTCTGAGACCTTGAGACCCTCCTTAGGAATCAGATGAAGGGTCTTCCTGGCTGTCTGCCAGAGGACAGAGTTTCTTTAATCTCTGAACATATGTGTTCTCTTTTTAAAGATTTTATTTATTTTATTTGACAGAGCTCACAAATAGAGACGCAGGCAGAGAGGGAAGCAGGCTCCCTGAGATCATGACCTGAGCCGAAGGCAGAGGCTTAACCCACTGAGCCATGTAGGCACCTCTGAACATATGTGTTTGCTAAACTGTTCCTACCCTGAGGCTCAGAATGTTTCGTTCCCATGAGAAATCTCTCTCACTCACACCAAGGGGACGAACAGAGCAGGTGGTGGTCTCGCTAACGCTCTGTGACTTACATCCCATCACGAGACTCCGCTGTGTGACATTCCTGTTAGAGGCTGGAGGGAGCCTGCTTTTCAAGAGACCACACGAGGAGGGAGGAGGTGTAATTGGATGTCAGGAATGTTAGTCGTTGGCCACTGAGCAGGGGGCCCCATTTCCTGAGGAGAGGATGAGTGGAAACTGCGTCCTGTCCATAACCTCTTGTGGCTCCTGCAGTCGGGATGGAGGGAGGAGGTGTACAGGGGTTCGGCCTGAGTCTTTGAGATGCTGGACAGCTCAGGATGGGAAACTCATCATCAAAGGATTGAAAAACAGTATGGGGGGGAATACCCGATTATTAACATTACCTAGAGTTGAAAATAATAGGGCTTTCTTGAAAATCCCTTCTGCCAGAGCCCTGTCTCTTTGGGAGGTCTGACCTAACTTATCAAAAGAGCCAAATATTTTAATTTACAAAATGAGGTGGCTTAGAGAAGGAAGCCCTTCTTGACCCTGAAGGGGGCCCTGGGAAGCTGCTGACTGGGAGAGCTATGTGGTGGACATCGGGTTGACCAGAGGACCGAACTGCTTTAGGGCAGACATCTGAAATGTGGGCCCTGTGTGGGGAACAGGCGAGGGGTAACCCCCAGACACCAGCATCCCCACCTCACCCTGGGCCCTTCCTGTCCCACAGGTTGGCATCGTGGGGCGGACGGGAGCCGGGAAGTCGTCCCTGACCCTGGGCTTGTTTCGAATCAACGAATCCGCAGAGGGGGAGATCATTATCGACGACATCAACATTGCCAAGATCGGCCTGCACGATCTGCGCTTCAAGATCACCATCATCCCACAGGTGAGGTCTGGGTGCAGCGAGGGAGTGAGTGGGGGGCAGGGAGAGTGACGTATGTACGTATTGGGGACAAACGTAAATATATTCCTATTTTATTATTTTCATTGTTCTCATTGGACCAATACTGTTTCTTCACCACTGAATCTCCCCTTAGCGTATAAATCACAGTGGGAATTAACCAGGCATCGTTCCCTTCACTCCTGCTGGCTCCACTCAGGACAAGAATAAGGTTCTTAAGAGCCAAGCGAGAAATAAGAATTTTCCACACTGATTTCTGTAGGTGTGATTCTCTCACGTGTTGCCTTGTCGTGGTGTTTTCCCTAAAATTTCTTCTGAGATTCTCCTTCGGAGGCAGGGAACGGGGAGGAATCCACAGTACTTTATGATTAGGAATTATCTATGCTGCTTCTCCCAGTCAGAAGGTTCCATGTATTGGAGACTCTGGGAAGTTTTGCCAAAAGAAATTTATTTTATTTCACTTAACCCAGGATTTTCCAAGCCTTCCCCTCGCATTACTAACATCTCCGGCAATAGCGATTGCGAGGAACCCTGGAGCCCCATCTTGAGTGATTCTGGCCAGAGCTGTTCACGTCGCGCCTGTTTACACCGGGTGCAAGCATCGTGACGTGAGCCTCACCTGCCGTCTGCTCTCTTCTCCCCGGACAGGACCCTGTTTTGTTCTCGGGTTCCCTCCGCATGAACCTGGACCCGTTCACCCAGTACTCAGATGAGGAAGTGTGGACGTCCCTGGAGCTGGCTCACCTGAAGGACTTCGTGTCCGCCCTTCCCGACAAGCTGAACCACGAGTGTGCGGAAGGCGGGGAGAACCTGAGGTAAGAAGCAGGGGTGCGAGGCCCTGACTGGGTCTCCTCAGCTCTGCCTCCATCGAGGTGTTGGAAGATTCTGTCCTTTTGCATCTGTGTCAGGCCTAGGTTTGAGTCACGGATGAGCCATTTTCTCTTCCCTTCTTGTCGCTTCAACTTCAGCATCTGTAAAGTGGGCTTCAGTCCAGGCTCATGGTATCGTGAGGTATAAAACCGGGATGGCCCGTGTGGTTCCTTTCTTATGCCAGGTTTAGTCCATGGAGTGTGACTGTTAGTTGTTCACCTATTGAAAAGCTTCTCTCTTGCTCAGTAAATTTCTGAGCTCTCCGAGTCGCCACCCGCTGCCCTGGGCCTTCTCCCAGGATCCCCAGGATGCCCCCCATGACCCAGAACTGAAGTATCACTGCCTGGTGGCGCAGGGAGCCCAAGTCGTGCTCCAGCGTCCCCTGTGCCTCATCTGTCCCTGTGACAACCACCCACCAAACCTCAGACGTGTTCAACACTTAAGGCCCTTGGGGAGGGTCACTGCCGGGCGGCCGTGCAGTTCTCGGCTCACTCCCAGGGCTGGGGGTCCGCTGGGGCAGATCGGGTCGGCTCCACACATCCCTTATCCTCCAGCCGACCAGCCCAGGCGTGCGGTCACGGCGATGGCGGAGGCGCAGGAGTGAGCGGACCCCGGAGGGCAGTCCCTCTGCGAGCCTCCGCTGGCCTCGTTTGCCGGCATCCCGTCGGCCAAAGCAAGACACGTGGTTGAGTCTGGAGTCAGTGGGGAGGGCCCTACAGAAAGCACAGATATGGGGCCGTTTGGTTACCCTTCACACCGCCCATGCCGAGCTGCTCCCCTGTGAGCCCTGTTCTGAACATGACACTGAGAGCCCCACTCTAGCTCCATGGCGAGAACGTCCCGAGCAGTCACTGACGTCTGCTGAGGGCACAGGCGCGGGGACCAGGGAGTAGCCGGGCTCCTCTGGCCTTGGCAGCTCCTAGTGTCCCCTTTCTCTACTCCCAGCTCCTGCCTGGGCTCAGGGTCAGGGGTTGGTTTTGACCCTCTGTCTCCTGGTCTTTTTCTCCCGGTCAAGCGTCGGGCAGCGCCAGCTTGTGTGCCTGGCCCGGGCTCTGCTGAGGAAGACCAAGATCCTCGTGTTGGACGAGGCCACGGCGGCCGTGGACCTCGAAACAGACAACCTCATTCAGTCGACCATCCGGACGCAGTTTGAAGACTGCACGGTGCTCACTATTGCACACCGGCTGAACACCATCATGGACTACACGAGGTGATGCTCTGGTCCTGCAGATGTCCCCGTTCGTTCAGCACCGTCCTGTGTGGAGGGACAGCCCTCTCTTTCCCTTGGGTGTTTCTGACATCACTCCATCATGTATTCAGTCAACACACACGTAGAGTGCCCGCCTCCTTCTCAGTCCTATTCTAGGCACTGGGGACTCAGCAAGGAAGTAAGACAAGGAGCCTGCCTGAGGGATCTTCTAGGTCATTCGGGGGCTGGGTGCAGAGACAGACAATAGACACTTGAACACACCAAAGCTAATGGTGCTGGGAACGAAGTAGAGAAAGTGAGAGAGCCTGTCCTGGGGTAAGCATCCCAGGGCTTTGACCAGGAGGGGTCAAGGATGGCAGCCAGTTGGAAGGCTACTGCAGCAGTCCTAACAGAAGGTGTGAGGGGCCTGACCCAGAGCAGGGATTTGTTGGGGTGGCTCTTGGGGGCACAAGGTGCTGACCCCTTCCTTTCTCCTCACGTCTGTGTCTGCTGCTCTTGCAGGGTCATCGTCCTGGACAAGGGAGAGATCCGGGAGTGCGGCCAGCCCTCCGACCTCCTACAGCAGAGAGGTCTTTTCTACAGCATGGCCAAAGATGCTGGCCTGGTGTGAGCCCTGGAGCTGGTGCATCCGGTCAGAGCTACAAGGCTGACACGCCGGCGTCCGGGGATGATGTACTGGGGCACCATCCTTGGGAACCCAGGCCTCCTGTTTACTGAAACCAAAAAGAAGAAAGAAAACAAACAAACAAACCCCCAAACCAAAACACACAAAGCAGCTAGCGTCTGGCCCCCGAGTTGGAATTGGCCGTGAAGAAGTAGGAGAGACACAGAGCTGCAGCCCACCCAGAACCCTCCCGCCCCGCCTCCGTTGCCCTGCAAGATGCACAGATGTTCTCAGGCCCCCAGGAACGCACGCGTGTGCTCTCGGTGCTCGGCGGGGAGGTTTCGGCAGCGAGGCTGCCAGAGAAAGTGGTTTCATAAAAACGCTAGTGACCAAATCCAGCCAACTGCCTCAGGGCTCTCCAGCCAAAGGCAACGGGTTCTGTCTTTGAGAAGCTCCCCGGCCCCCCCCGATGGCTGTCCCCGGCACCCCCCAGAGTGCTTGGTCTCTTCAGAGCTGCAGGTGGGAGGTGAGGGGCCATCCGTTGAGGGCCAAGCACACTCCTCTTACCAGCCATGTGGTCTTCCAGGCGCTCCGACGCTGGGACCCCACGTCTCAGCCCCGCTCCCCCGGTGCTCGCCTCCCAGGCCAGGGGGCAGCCCCCATGTCTACGGACTTCTCACTGGCGGGACTTGACAGCACTTCTGGGCCGTGCGGACCCAGGGCTCGTCTGCGCACCGGCTCCCCAGCCTGCGCGTTTGGCTCGTCATCCATACTGGTCTTCTCTCTTTCCTCACTGCCCCTTCTCCCGTGGCCGGAAGGCTTTACTGCCCTAGTCCCCGAGAGAGAAGATCTGCTGATGGTGATGAAACGGTCAAGGCCCAGAGCGCTAGGTACCTGCCAGGTAGGACCAGTCGGGGCTGAAAAGAGCCCCGTTGAGTCTCCTCCGTGTGGTTAGATTTTTTTTTGTTTTTCCTCGCCATTGGCATCTGGGTAGCTTGAAGGATGGCCGCGTGGAGAGCTTGACGTTTCGTGACTGAGTCTCTTCCAGGACAAGAAAAGGGCCTATTCACGAATATCAGTGTTTTCTTTTCCTTTTTTTTTTTTTTTTTTTTTTTTTTGGCTTTTTTGGTTTTTTGGCTTTAAGTGCTGCTCCAAGGGGAAAAACAGTTTCAAGACTTTAATTTCTTGGGAAGAGGTGCTGGTTGAGGAGCAGCGTTCCCAGGGAGGAGCCACAGCAGCCGGCAGGTGACGGGTGGTCCACGTGTTCCGGGAGGAAAACGGAGAAGCAGAGTCCTTTGCGGTTTCTCAGACCAGAGCGAGACCCAAAACGCAGAGGAAGGTCACTGTTGCTCCGAGATTCATACTTGCTATGAATTACATTGCTGACTTCACACCCAGAGAAGCACCTTCCTTCTTTTAGGTGGAATATTTATTTTTTTGTAAGTTATACCATTCTTCGACATTAGATAAACCAAGTTTTTCTTGGGGATCTTTTTCTAATGACACTGGAAACATGAACATTTGCAATAATTTACAGTAAAAAAAAATACTTTGTTTCTTACTGAACAATTGTTCTGTTTTCTTTGGGGTGTTAGCAGAGTGTTCTGCCGTGTCCTTCAGAGTCAGGACGGGTAACCCTCTTGCCTGCTTCTGTTCTTTCTCTTTGGCAAACCCATTGTCTCCAGTGGGAGCCCTTGTTCGGGAACGGGACCTGAGGGGTGAAGAAGCAGGCGGGGTTTAGTGGGGAGTCAGCCTGGCCCGGTGGACAGAGCCTGGGCTTGAACCCTGCCTTTGCGGTTTGCTAATAACTGTGTGACTTCGCATACGTCGCTGGACATCGGTGCCCCCGCTGCGTGTGTTACATAGGCCTGATCGTACCTGTCCTGCAGGGTTGTTGTGGCGATGAGCAATGGCATGTTGGTGGCACACACGACCTTAGTCATGTAAGACACAAGCCAGGCCAAAGTCCCACGTGGCTAAAATTAACCGAGAAAATCCCTTTGTGTCAGCTAGGCCAGGCTATGCTGTGAGAGCAAATTAGTGCTGATCTCTTGGGAAAGGGAACGTCAGGTTAATTTCTCACTCGTGCATTCTTTGATGACCATCAGATGCCTCTCTCGGGTCCCTGTCTTCCCTGCAGCGGCAGAGAGACCTAGGCTATTACGGTCTTAGAGCATCAGCTCCCAAGGGCCAGCTTCCGGAGGTTGGCACTGCAGGGCAGGGGAAAGCGGGCACAGGATGATGCATCTGTGTTCTTCATGCCCCAAACCGGAAGCGACACAAGTCCGTTCCACTCAGCCCATGGGCCAGAGTCAGTCACATGGCCCCAGCCCCAGCACAAAGGAAGCTGGGAGATGCAGGGGTGCGTAAGGAAGGGCAGTACCTCCCCATGTGGTCGTTCCGTGGTTTCTGAGTTGTGGCTTGCAGGGAAATGAGGCTGGCGTGTTCGGTGTCTTCAGTTTGAAGAACCAGCTGTGTTTGGGGAGCAAGCCTGGGCTGCACCCTGAAACCAGGCCCCAAGTAATGGCACAGAGCAGGCATCCTGGCCCTGCCAGGCTGCCCTCCAACAGTGCTTTGTGTCGCCTGGAGCGTGAACGTGTTCAGCAGAGAGGAGCTGGTCAGCTTATTCCCCTGAGAAGGGAAGTATTTGGATGTGCCACATGGGGGGGTCAGGTCAGTTTTAGAGGTGGGGTCCCAAGTCAGGTCATAACCAGGTGTCCCAAGTGGGCAACCTGGTGAGTTCCTGTGGGTGTGCGCTGTGGGGTGACCGGTCCTCAGGAGGCTCGTGGGCCTGGGTTCAAGCTCTCGCTCCTTCCTGAAGAGGCCACATGCAGCCTTAGTCTCAGAGGGGGTGGCGTCAAAAGCCCTGAGGCTGGGGCAGGGGTGCCTGCTCCCCCACTCGTCCAGGTAAGTGCATCTGTGCTGTGCAAGGAGTAAGGGGGACCTCTCCTGTGTGCCAGGCCCTAGGCTTGGTGCTTAGCCTTGCTCCCGTGGGAGGGGGACCCCAGGCCAGAGGGGAGCGGGGACCTGGAGTGATGCTTCCCATGTGGGTCCTACAGCACCTTCTAGCAAAGCACTCAGAATCTGACCACTTCTCAGCCCTCTGGTGGCTGCCATGTGGGTCCCTCCCTCGTGCCCGTGACAGCCACCTCAGCGATTTCCCTGCTGCCCTGGCCACCCTCTCCTCTCCTCCCCCGCTGTATAGTCTGTTCTCCACCCAGCAACATCGTGTGCCTTTAAAAACCCCTCCATCCCAACCCTCCAGTGGTCCCCACCTCTGGCAGCAGCCAGCTACCCTCCACAACCTGGCTTCCCGTGACCTCTGCCCTGAGCTCCCCTCCAGCCACCTCGAAGGCCCCTCCAGCCACAAGGCCTCTCTGCCGCCCTTCCAGCATGCGGGGCACTGTCCCGCCCTCGGGTCTTCCCTCTTCCCCAGACATTAGCATGGCTGGTCGCTCCCATTTCTTTCACAGTGGCAGCTCACGGAGAGCAAGGCTCTGATCGGTTTACTCCTTAATGAATGCCCTCCCCTAGCACATCACTCAAGGCCAACGACAGACTGAGCTCTCTGTGCTGGGCCCTGGGACCTGTGTGACATCTTCAGGGCCTCTAGAACGTACCTTTCAGGAGCTGCAGTTTCTTCACTGGTACAGCTGGGATCCTCGCGTCCGCCTGGCCAGGTAGGTGCAAGGAAGGAAGCCGATCCAGGTAAAGCACCCAGCACCACGCCTGGCCCTCAGGACCCCGTCCTACATGTTGATGCCTTTCATTCATTTGTCCACCTATCCATCCATCAGTCTGTCCGTCCGTCCATCCATCCATTCGTCCCTGCAGTCGTCCTTTATCGAACACTCCCTCATGCTATGTGCCGTGCCGGGTACTGGGAGTCACAGTGAACACATGGGAACAAATCCCTTGTTTCAAGAGGGAAAAGACCCATTCCTTCCCTTCCTGGGGAAGATGCCCGAGTGGAATTCAGCTGTCCGCGAGCTGATGTTCCAGAGCTGAAGATGTGTGCGTGTAGCAGGTTAGGATGTGGGCTCTGGATCCCTGCTTACGCTCTGTGTGCATTTTCTTGTCTGTAAAAGGGACCTCATGAAAGTGTCCTAGTCAGCTGATCACCACGGTGCCTTCCTTCCCCCATTTTAGGGATTCCCCGAAAGCCTGTGGCGGGCGTTGGGGCAGGGCTTGGTGAGCGTTTGCTGTGACGCGAGGGGACACAGGAGGGTAAAGGGCCGACCGAGCCAGGCACTGAGCCCAGGTCTGAACGTGGCTCTCCCTGCAGGTGTTGCCCCCCGAGCCCGTGGCACGGTGTCTGGGGAGCTGTGCTGTGCGCTCCTTGGTACCCTCCTCGGTGCTGCTCCCATGGCACACACACCACTCTGTCCCTGAGAGAGGCCCTGGTGGCCCTTGAATGACCCTGAGTGCATTGGCCAAACACACAGCAGCTGCCACTTTGGCCTGCGGTCACCCTGCCTGGATGTCAGGGGCCCCGCTCCAAGCAAAGTACTGCATCTTGTTCCCTCCTGTCCTTCCACGCTGGGCAGCACCCCCACACGATGCCTTGGGCTATAAATAGACCCAGGACAGACCTCCCCCCAACCCCGGGCACTCACCAGCTGGGTGGCCTTGGCAGGTCCTGTGAACTCTCTGGGCCTCATTTTCCACATGGCCAAAACAGAGTTGGTAGGTACTAGCCATGGTGGGGCCGGCCCTCTGGAGGCAGGACCGGGGGCAGGCAAGGGATGCAGCCCTCTGACCCCACTTGGCAGGCGTCCGAATGAGCCACTGGCCACACCTTGGCAGAGGGACGTAGAAGCTGCCATTGGATCGAGATTTCATTTCCTCTGGGCTGAAAACCCTACCCTGGCTGGACCAGCAGAAAGTCCCCGTGACTTGGCTGGGACAGGGTGGTGGGGGGCGTTCACAGGCCCTTCCGGACGCACCCACAACAGCCACTGTCCATGTATCTGGATGACCGCTGGGCTGGGTGAGCCCGGTGCCTCTCAGCTGTGTGGCTGGTCCCCCAGGGGACACTTGGCAGCTCTGGAGTTCTCTTCGTCACACCTGGAGGGGACAGTGCTTTGGCATCGAGTGACAAGAGACCAGGGATGCTGCTGAACGTCCCACAGCGCACGACCCAGAATTACCAGCCCCACTTCAATAGCGATCGGTTAAAGAAACATCCCGGCGTGTACGGCCTCTGCCCCACAGAGGACCCAAGGAGGGCCTCCAACAGAACAGCACTGACACAAACGGTGGAAGTTGATTGAGCCCGTGCTTTGGGCCCAGCTCAGCTCAGAGCACTTCCACGTACTAACTTTGTCCCTGCAGCGACGTCATGAGGTCACGGAAGAACCCTGGGCTGCCGGAAAGTTCATCTGAGGCGCAGACCCATTTCTCATGCCGCCCTTCACCTCTGTGTGTCCGCGTGACCTCAGGCTTGGCTGTCTTAGACTCTGTCCCTCTTGCCCCACACCTGCTGCCAGCTTTAGCCACACTGTATTAGGTTCCCAACTGCTGAGGGAAATAGGCCCGAGCCCCATGGTGCGTGGTGCTGGTCCTGGCCCTGGACGGAAGCAAGCCTGGCCCATCTCCGCCGTGGACCTTGGGCTTCCAACGGTCTCCCGGAGACACTCTGGTTGGTTCCCCTGCTGCGGGCCTCCCCCGACCCCGCCACTCTGGCCCACCCCAAAAGCTGGAATTTGGTCTTTCACACACATGAAAGGTGTACCCTGAGCAAATTTTCTCCGTGGGGGACCCCACAGTCCTTGGCTCCGCCAGTCCTGTTTTTGGCACAGAATGTGCTAGTGCTGGGGGCAGGCCTGTTCTTGGTGCTGGGGGCGGTGGCCTGTGTGTTGGTTCAGACAAGATGCTCCTTGGGGCTCATCTACAAAGGGGGAGGAACCGCAGCAGGAGGTGTGGAATTTTCTGGAATCCTGTGGGGAGCTTTAAAAATACATAACGGGGGCGCTGGGTAGCTCAGTGCGTTAAAGCCTCTGCCATCGGCTCAGGTCATGATCCCAGGATCCTGGGATCGAGTCTTGCATCGGGTTCTCTGCTCAGCAGGGAGGCTGTTTCCCTTCCTCTCTCTCTGCCTGCCTCTCTGCCTACTTGTGATCTCTGTCAAATAAATAAATAAAATCTTAAAAAAAAATAACAGAATGGAGAGTGCATCACCGCGTGGTTGCGGCTGGGAGGAAGGCGGGTGTGGTCATGATATGGCGACCAGAGCGGTCCTGGTGGTACTAGACATATTCACCAGCCCAACCGGTGGTGGTGAGGCTGGAGCCTGCACAGAAACACGTGTGACACGCGCAGACATGCACACATGTGCATAAATACAAGTAAAAGTGGGAAAATCTGACCAGAATCAATCAGTGGTACCAATGTCCATATTTTGGTTATGATGTCATACTGTTGTTTTCCAAGATGATGTTATTCGGGGAAACAGAGTAAAGCTACCCGGGAACTTTCTGGATTACTTCTTACAATGGCTTGTCCATCTATAACCATCTCAAAATAAAGGGGGTAATTTGTAAAAAAGCACATGCTCCATTGCCCCAGCCCAGTCCCGGGGATGGTGATTTTCAGCATCCGGCGGGGAGCCCTGGCACGGGTGGGTTTTTGAGTCTCTCAGGTGAGGCCCCCAGGCAGCCAGCGTGGAGAGCCACGGGCCACTTCAGCTCCGGGGTGGACGGGGCCAGATGAGCCCTGATCAGACCGACCCAGGCGTTCCTGTGTCCTCCTGGGTCTGTGACGACTGGTTGCTTTCTCTGCCATTTTCCTCCCAGAGAGCAGAAGGGTCTAGACCCAACCCTGTGGTGCCATTGATGGCCCCTGGGTCACGTGTACCCCCAGGGCACAGCAGTCTCTCTGGGCAGGTACGATGAGGCGAGGGTTGAGGGCTCAGACCAGGCCCGATTCCTGCGCCAGCCTATAAAACAGGCCCTGCTGGGCCAGCAGCTGGGTCGGGCTGCCGCTCTCCGCCAGCTGCCCCTTATCCATGACCAGCACCCTGCAGGGGTAGAGAGAAACGAGCCACTCTTACCAGCCCAGTCAGCCCTGGGCACTCTGACACCGAAAGCCCAGTGTGTCTGCCCAGGTCGAGTCTGGCCCTCCCTGCGGTTTCCTGATGCTGACGAGCAGAGTGGAAGCCTCTGCTGGGCCCGAGTCCTGGGCCTCCTCCCTCCCCTCTCCTCCCCTCCCAGCATCAGTTTCACCTCCTGTAGTGTGCACACTCGCTAACCACTCCAGCTCTGAACCCCGCTGCCTTCCTCTGCTGCTGCGGGGGTGGCGGGGGCCGGGGGCGGGAGAGGGCAGCGTACCTGGCGCAGTCCATCACAGAGCGCAGGCGGTGGGCGATGAGCAGCACCGTGCACCGAGCGAACCAGCTGCCCAGGGCCGCCTGCATCTGCAGCTCCGTGCCCGGGTCCACGGCGGCCATGGCCTCATCCAGAATGAGGATCCGGGTTTTCCGGAGAAGGGCCCGTGCCAGACACAGGAGCTGCTTCTGGCCCACGCTGGGAAAGAGTGGGAGGGTCAGGCTGGACACTGGTGTGCCTGCACATCAGGATCGGCGGGGTCTGCCCACAGATGGGGTTCCCCCGACAGCCACAGGAGTTGAGGGGATGGTGTGTGCCCACGCACGTCTATGCGTGCGGTCGGTCTCCGGTCCACAGAGATGGGAGGGATCCCCGTCCTGCCATTTTTGAGCACAGTGACCCGAGGCGAGACATTCAAACCCCGGTGCCTCAGTTTCCCTAGCAGTGAAATGACTATTTCTATTTGTACCCTGGGGTCTTCACCCTGTGCCGGACACACAAGCAAGTGCCTGTGCACGGTCACTTCTCACAATGACCTCCAAGGTGGCTACTGTATTAATGAGTCGTATGACTACCGAGGGTTTAAGGACAACTTAAGGCCCATAGAAGTGTTCAGCAGTGTGCTTGCCACAGAGAAGGCCCTCGGCACCTGCGGGCTTCTCCTCCTCTAGTTACCAACAGGGAAGTTGCAGCTCGAGGTCACACGGACTGTGAGACCCCTGACCCTCGCTCGAGACCCAAGGGTGTCCTGCAGTGCTCTGCTGCTTCTCATTGTGGAGCCTTCCAGCAGTGTCTCTGGGGGACCCCAGGCAAGCCTCAGGCCTCCTGTGCCAATTCTGCAAAATGGGTTTCTTATTTCTTTTAATTTTTTAAAAAAGATTTCTTTATTTAATTGACAGCCAGCGAGAGAGGAAACACAAGCAGGGGGAGTGGGAGAGGGAGAAGCAACCTTCCCACTGAGCAGGGAGCCCAACACAGGGCCCGACCCCAGGCCCCAGGGATCATGACCTGAGCCAAAGGAAGACATTCAACGACTCAGCCACCCAGGCACTCCCGCAAAATGGGCAAGTGCCTCTCTGAGGACTGTAGGGAAGAATTATGTTCCCTATATCTAGGCACTGTTTCAACAACTTGACTCAAAGAACTCCACCTGCTTACAGGAAGGAGATACTAACTGTAATTCCCATTTTACAGATAAGGAAGGTGAGGCCCAGAAGATTAACTTGCCCAGGGTCCCAGAGCTGCTAACTGGGACATGTCTAAACACGTGGGAACCAAGCTACACCACTTCCTCTGTGTCTGGAAACTATTACCACCCCTAGTCCCTCACGCTAACACCAGCGGGGGCAGATGGGTTTCAGAATCCAGAACATCTTAGCCCCCCCACCAATTTTATTTATTTGAGAGCAAGAGAGTAAGGGGGGGGGCAGAGAGAGAGAAAGAATCTCAAGTAGATACTCTGCTGAGCACAGAACCCTATGCATGGCTCGATTTCATGACCCCAAGATCATGACCTGAGCCAAAATCAAAAGTCTGATGCTTAACCGACTGAGACACCCAGGCGCCCCCAGAGTATCTTGATTTTGAAAAAAGCACACACCCGTACTCCTGACGACAGCATTATTCACAACAGCCGAAAGGTGGAACCAACCCAAGTATCCATCAGTGAATGAATGGATAAGAAAAATGGGGTCTCTACAGTGGAACATCATTCAGCCTTAAAAAGGAGGGAAGTTCTGACACCTGCTACAATGTGGAGAACACTATTCTGAGCGAAATAAGCCAGCCACTTAACTGAGGTACCCAGAGTAGCCAAGTTCCTAGAAACGAAGCAGAATGGCGGTTGCCGCGTGCTGAGGGCTGGGGAAAACAGAATTGCTTCTTTAATGGGTAGAAGGCTTCAGTTTTGCGAGATGACAGAGTTCTGGAAATGGGTTGCACAGTGGAGGGGATGTACTCAAGACGACCAACCGTATGTTAAAAGGTGGTAAAGATGCTAAATTGTATGTGTATTTTACCACAATTAAAATTTCTTTAGAAAGACATAGGCCAGGGCCTCTTGATTTGGACTCAAGTCATGATCTCAGGGTCATGAAATTGAGCCCCATGTCGGGCTCTGCACTGGGCATGGGGCCTGCTTGAGATTCTCTCTCTCCCTCTGCCTCTCCTATCCCCACTCGCACGCCTGCTTGAGATTCTCTCTCTCCCTCTGCCTCTCCTATCCCCACTCGCACGCACTCTCTCTCTCAAAAAAATAAGAAAAAGCATCTACCATATGTTTACTCAATACCCCAGTGCGCATGGGGTTAGCCCCTATATCAAACACATTACCTTTGCGGCAAAAGAAATGCTGAGTGGGATAAAGAAAGACCGTAAGTGGGTAAAGGTTGGGTTTTGTCCCCAGATACATGTAGGAACTGAATTTAGGGAAAAGAAACTGGCTACTTAGAGACTGTTGGTATCTGGGATTGCTGAGTGAAGGGATTCGTACTGTAAGGACTGACTGGGGCGGGTAGTCCTACGGGGGAGGCGGGTTGCCAGGGCGTATTATCCCAGGCTGAGGCAGTGGGGGGAGCCTTGGCCACACCTGCTGCTCCCCCAGCAACTCCCAGGTCCTGAGGGGTGCGGGGCAAGCCTACCTCAGGTTGTGGCCTCGCTCGGCACACTCATACTGCAGCTGGCCCGGGAGGCTGGCCACCACGGCTCTGAGCTGCACCGTCTCCAAGGCCTCCCAGATGGCTTCATCTGTGTGCTCACTCAGCACGTCCAGGTTCGTCCGCAGAGAGCCGGGGAACAGGGTGGAGTCCTGGCCAGAAGGGGCAGTGGCTCAGAGCGGGGCCCGGCCATGCCTCTCACCTCCGCCCACCCCGTTCCCCCAGACCTCACCTGGGGGATGATGGTGATCCTGGACCGCAGCGTGTGCAACCCCACATGGGCAATGGGGACCCCGTCGATCCAGATCCCCCCCTCGGCTGCCTCCAGGAGCCGCACGAGGCCCCCGGCCAGGGAGGACTTCCCGGCGCCCGTCCTGCCAACAATGCCCACCTGTCGGGGGATGGGAGGCAAAGCTCGTTCTGGCCAGGCCTGGCAGACCATGGGCTGAAGGGCCCCTAAACATCTGTGTAAGGTGTTTCCCCTGCATCCAAGATCCATCCGTCTGTCCATCATCCTTTGAGCACCCGTCCTTCCATCTGTCCCTCTGTCCTCTCATCTGATTACCTTTCCATATACCCATCCCATTCTATCCAACCTTCTTTCTGGACATCATTCCCTTCCCCTCATCTCTCCCATCTTTCCCGCTCTACCCCC